GTATGCACAGAAATGGAAATCTCCCCAGGTCACGGATGGGTCTGAAAACAATTGCTGCATGCATTTCAGATACCATATCCTGGATGTCTGAGGATTTTCAATAATGAAATATCTTCTGTGCTTCAACTGATAACGCGCAATGGATGCCACAAATTCAACCATGGGAAGGTAGCGTCTCCGCTTTTCCCCCACCTTTTGCTGGTCTTGCTGGAAGTTCTGCATGTTTGACCATGGTCCAGACCGGTGCCATAAGGATGACATCAGGTGCTTGTTCCCTGATGATCTCCATGACCATGTGTCGTCCCTTGGATGTCATTACATCGAATCCTGTGCGGATGTGCACGGGAGTCCCAACCTTAAGACCTGATAGTACACAGCATTGACTGAATCTGGCACTTCCTGCAAAGATCTCGAGAACGTGGATCTTTCCCTTACGTAGACAATTCGAATGTGCTTGTTCAGGAATGGATGTGAGGTCCTCGACGAACATGTTCTCTGCTGGATGAGGTACTGCAGGTGTTGAAGTTGTTTTTCCCGCGATACGTAATGGCACTGAGGATCTTGGCTTAGGAGCTGGTGCGGATGATTCTTTTTTCTTGGTATCTACAGAGGAGCCTGGTTGCTCCTTCAGCAAGGATTCTCGCTCTTCAGGTAACAGAAGGTCAATTCCGGGTTTCCCCGGAGGGATGGTCTCATCCTTCCTGAGCTTCGTCATGTTAACCTTGATGAGTCGAGTCCCAATCAAGTCCTACCATCGCTCCTTCAATGGAAATGACTTTTCCCTTTAGCCATATTCCTCCCTTGCTTCCATCGGAACGAATCTTGGATTTGTCTTCCTGCCAGTAAAATACCTTGTCCTTCACCTGAAGAGGCTTTGAACTCATTCGGAGATTTTGAGCAAGGTCTCGTCGGATGTCCTTGGATTGACGTGCTTCTTGGAAAGCTTGCTTTGACAGCTGCTTGATCTGGATGGCTGTCATCTCTTCTTCATTCCTGTCAATCGTCAACTGAGTTGGTGTTGCGACATCGAGTTGGATGAGATCTGCTGGTCGTCTTCCGAATGCGAGCTCCAATGGTGTTACTCCCCCGTAGGTGACGGTCTGATTCCTGACAGTTGCAGCGGCCTTCACTAGCTGCCTGTAGGTCACTTTCTTCAGTGTTGCAGGTGCAGTACCTGCTTTGATGGAACTCAGCATGATCTTGAGTTGTGCCTTCAGGAGTCGAACTGCTGCTTCAGCTCGATTTGGCCATGGTGTATTCGGTCCCAAAGATATCGGAGTGATGTCAAGGGACTGATAGAAATGTTCCCATGTATCTGTCATGAAGGCTTGATCTGCGACAACTGATTTGGGCTGCAAGTGGTACTGGTCAAAATAGTTCCTGAGGACAGTGATGTTCTCGACTTCTTGCGTAGTTGTCACTGCCTCTGCAGTGAGCAATGTTGTTGCTCCATCCAGGATGACAAAAAACAATGATGTGTTCTCCGGTTCCAAGAGGAACTTGACAGTGATCAATGAATGTCATGTCACCAAAGGTGTCCGCTCGAAGTCCGCTTGTCTTGCTTCGTGATGGTGCATGTTTCGCCACTTGGCAAACTTCACACTCACTTCGGATCTTGTCAAAAAGATCGAATGTTGATTTCGGCAAATGAAGTGCTCGGGTTCTAAATCGAAATTGATCTGTTGTCATGTGATGATGCTGCAGGTGGAGTTTCTTCAACTCTTCTGGATTTGACAATCGCTTGTGGATTCTGCCTAGGGCAAGCGGAAGCGATGTTGGTTCTTCTGCGGATGGTGCGAAAGGATCTGGCTCAATAGTCGACTGGCCCCTCTTGTCGATGATCCTGTCTGCTGCCGATCCTGAACCTGCTTCGACGTCCTTCAGCGAATTGTCCGAGAATGTGAAAATGGTCTTACCTATCCACAGGTTTATCATCGGTTTATTTGCCTGGGATGTAAGTCTCCAATTGTCTTCCAAAATGTCTGGATCTCCACCTGCGGATGCATCAATGATTTCCGTGGTACGTTCTCGGCTGATGTGATCAGGATTGATTGGACATTCCTTGGCTCCATTTGGTGTGAACAGCGCCTTTCGGGGCGTGATGCGCGCACGGATGAGCTGCTTGTTCTTCTTGTCAAGGATCCAATGGTCCTGCTTTTGAGACCCAATGATCTTAGGAGTTGCTAGGCCCTCCTTTGTCTCGGATGATTTTGCTGCACAAGTTTCGCTCCTGGTGAGATCCCCGGAGGGAAATTTGATGCTGTTATCATCGTCATAGACATAGTTGGTGAGGCCCTTGTGAGCAATTTCTCCATGCGCCTTCACTCTTGCAACTCCAGCGAGATCGACGAGTGCATGTCCTGTACCGGATACTGGAACTGCTTGACGGTTCATGCCAAAGGCCTTGCATGTGATCCTATCACATTGAGGTGTGTGCTCGATGGTCATGTAGAGGTTCCGCATCTGGCTGACGCTGAGAAGGATCGGTACAGTTCCTTGTTCAATGTTGGTACTGCGCGGAGGAGTTGTGTGATATCGAAGATGCAGGGTCCAATTTACCCTGGCGGTCTCTCTGTTTGCGAAGGTGAACTTGGTCTCGGCCGGGATGCACTCATAGGAGATGATGTCCTTCATTGGTTCGATTGCCTGGGTAAAACGCAGGATTGCATGCCAGCTGCCCATAGATCTGGTACATCCATTGTCCAGAATCGCATAGGTCGGGTTGTGCTGAGGGTTGATGACAGGCGCCATCAGCTTTGTTGCCAGAAGGCTGTGATTTGTTGTGACGGACAGGTTGTGTTCTGAAACTGTATCTGATTGGATCAGCTTCTCGTGGATGGCCTTTTTCCCAGGATGCTCATATGCATCATGGAATGCCATTAACGCTTGTCCTGTGCTGGATGTCTCATGGGATGAGTACCAGCCATGTTCGTTCCATGTCCATGATTGATCCCAATCTTGGTCTGTCCAACCGGCATAGGTAGGCTCTATGGATGGTGCAGTCTGCTGGATGGTGGGCTGCTCCTCCGTCTTCTCTGCGGTGGCTGCGAACGTCTTGGATTTTCCTTTTTCTTGTCCGCTCTTTCCTTTGCCACTCTCATAGGATGGATAACCTTTGTTTCCATCATAGGGATATTGGAATTTTGGTTTTCCTTTCTTTCCCTTCTTTCCTTTGCCTTTTCCCCAATATGCCTGGTCGTAGGGATCATAGTTTTCGTTGGCCATATTGGCCTTTCCGCCAGAACCGCTTTTTCTGAAGGGTTTGAAGCCACCTCGTTGGGGACTGCCCTTCTTGTTTCCTGATTTTCCTTTTCCTTTTCTCTTCTTGAACTTGAAGTTCCGCCCCGACACTTTTCTTGCTATGAACGCATCGTTCTCCTCGAGGACCCAGAACGTCTCTTCATCGTTGTTTGACATGAATCCTTCAAGTCCTTCTTCATCCTCAACCCAGAAGCCTTCTTCTCCTTCATATTCACCTTGTTCGATGATGAAGAATGTGTTGCTTCGGTTGCCTCCTTGAGGTCGGATGGATGGATCTTGGATCGATGTCCTCGTTGTGATGAAGAGTTCATGGTAGTGCGTCTTCAGCATCTCATAGGAATAATTCTCGAGTGAGATGTTTCTCAATGACATTGCACTTGTGAGTCGTTCTCTTTGTTGATCTGACAACTCACTTTGAATGATGAAAAACTGTGCAATGAGATTATCCCCGAAGGGAAATGCGTCCCGCTGTCTGTCCTGCATTCCTTGGATATATTGTCTGAGGACTGTAGGATCGTTCTCATTGAGCAGGGCTGGAGGCGGTGCTCGAGCACCGGCTGCTTGCTGATGTCGAGCAATTGTTCTTGCATTTGCGTCCTGAACGGACTGTCGAAATGATGGGGACTGTGCCGTGAAAACGGGCATCAAGTCCATCCATGCTGCCTTCAATCTCATGAGAAGGATTTCGAATTTTGAGGTAAAAATGAGGAACTCTTGGTTCTGCCTTCTATGGTTGAAGAAACTGAGGAGTCTGTACAGATACACGTTGGTCGCACCTTTCAAAAAGTACTTCTTCAGCGTGTTCTTGAAATAGTTGACTCCTTCATCAGGATCCTGCAAAAGGTCATTTTGGAGGACTGCCTTGTACATATATGCATCTCCAGTAAGTCTACTCTTCAGGAGAGGTCCTCTCTTTGGTGCTTCCACCGTTGTGATGGTCACCCAGTCGTCCACGAGTTCTTCGTACCTGAACCAGCTGACTTTTCCGTCGTACGACGGCGGCTGCTTGGCGGTCATCGATAAATTTAGTGTTTCCTCCGTATAGCTCGGCTTTGCCGAACTTGTATAGGCTTCCATGAAGCCTTCTCCATCTGATGACATCTTCCCTTGGATCTCTGCGGAAAACCTGCTCCGCTACCACGAATTGAGGCCCACTGCCCCAAGGTCGTTGTTGGTCCCTGAATCTATTCCGGAGAGAGTCCAATATGCCAGTAATGGATGATTGGAGGATGGATTGTCCCTGGTGGATTGTCTTGTGGATAATCCTGTAAGCGGCCTGCAATGGCGCTTTTGTCTTCACGCTCGGATGGTCGTGATTATGCAAAAAGGGCCCTTGAGCCAAATGTTGCGGGAGATCAATGGTCTGAAAAACAGAACACAGGGGGTGGGGGGGGTTTCTTATCCGGTATATTTTGAGGGAGAAGACAACCATGGGGAATGCCCCCACGATGCTGGAAGCCATCATCTTCAAAAAAAAAGCGAATACGACTGGCGCTCGTGTCGTCCACACAACAGGCGTCGCTTCTTCTTCTTCTTCCGGCGCTGCGGTTGCAATTACACACGCGCTTGCGCAGGTGGTGGTCGACCATGACCGTGCTCACAAGGTCTGTTTGACAGAACGCAACACTTGTGAACGTTACATCCATTTGGACAAAGGCGTTCAAAGGTCGCCCATAAGCACGCCCGTTCACGCAGCGGCTTCCAAGTGCAGAGCTCTAGCTGTTGACTGGCCAAGATTCGATGAAAGTGTTGAAGAATTTGTAAACCAGCACTCGCCACGGCATGTGAGCCTCAGCAATTCAGACATGGCAGTCAGCCAAGATTGGTTCATTGAGGCCCCCACAACAGACCGAAGCTTGTAATTGATGAATATTTGCCTGGCTGGCAAGCAGGTTAAGCAGGTTTGCCTGAGCCCAAAATGCGATGCAGTGACGCCGCCAAGCGAGGAGGAGGTGCGGAAGCATGTTGATGAACGAGAACGTATATGCAAAATCAGCCTTGCTGCGAATGCAAAGAGCCACTACACAAGACAGCAAAGCAACAGCAAGAAACTGGATGTCACGTGTCAAGAACTGAGAAATTCGGATGGGAGCGGGGCTCAGCTTTGTGAGCTTGCTGTGGGTCTGATTATTTGTTGCGTCTAGGTTATTTCTCTTCTGTGCGCAATCTCAAGGCCTTTCAAAGTGCAAAGTGCGTGCGCGTGTGGTGAGGCATTGGCACTCCTATGATACAACTTGGCCAGTGGCACAATCCAACTTCTGCTGATATTTGTAAGGAAGGTGGCACCGAAGAGACAAAGACGCCAAAACCACACATATCAAACAATCGGCACAAATCAACTCAACACAATGAAGCATGACATGAATCAAGTTGAATAGCTCGGAAGAGGAAGGAACTCGAGAAAATGAGACGCTCGATTTTTAAAACGTTACCCGACGCTCAAAGCAGTTCCGGTTGCACAAATCAGGTTGCGACGTGGCTCACGATGTTGTTTGCACACAGCAAGGCCATCTCATTTGCGAGGCCAAAATCTTGCACTCTGGCAATGGCCAAAGTCTGTTCCAATCGCGGCTTTGAAAGGCCAAGGTTGAGGGATGTCACAAGAATCAGTGTGACAAGCTAGTGGAACGTTTGCTCGCTTGGTCCAAGCATGCGATTGACAACCTTCTGCTCAAACAGCCACTTCACATATGCCGAAAGCAGGTTGGAACACACACACAGACATAACCACAAAAACAGACACGAACACACACACACACACACTTCAACTCCCGAGGGAGAGCGCTAATCCTTCGAGTCCAACCGATGAGTCTCGAGTGGGTGAAGTTTCGAGACTCGCGAAGCACTCGGTTTCCCTCTAGTAGTGACGAAAACGTGACCCGAAAGAACAAGAAGCACAAACAGCGCCGCAACCAAGGGGGCCAAATAGACTTTCAGAATCACGGAATGCAGGTACGCCGGAGTGGCCAACTCCGGTATCCCGTCTTGCTGCCTAGCTTTGTTAGACCAGGTCAGCAGCAAGACGCCGCGCCCTCCTGCGGTAAGTGGTGGCAGGGAATTCTGCCACTCCGCACACACACGCACACGCACACACACACACACAAACACACGCGCACACACACACACACCACACACCCACACACACAGACACACAGACACACAGACACGCAGACACGCAGACACGCAGACTCGCAGACTCGCAGACACGCAGACACGCAGACACGCAGACACGCAGACACGCAGACACGCAGACACGCAGACACGCAGACACGCAGACACGCAGACACGCAGACACGCAGACACGCAGACACGCAGACACGCAGACACGCAGACACGCAGACACGCAGACACGCAGACACGCAGGCACGCAGGCACGCAGGCACGCAGGCACGCAGGCACGCAGGCACGCAGGCACGCAGGCACGCAGGCACGCAGGCAGGCAGGCAGGCAGGCAGGCAGGCAGGCAGGCAGGCAGGCACGCAGGCACGCAGGCACGCACGCACGCACGCACGCACGCACGCACGCACGCACGCACGCACGCACGCACGCACGCACGCACGCACGCACGCACGCACGCACGCACGCTCGCACGCACGCTCGCTCGCACGCTCGCACGCACGCACGCACGCACGCACGCACGCACGCACGCACGCACGCACGCACGCACGCACGCACGCACGCACGCACGCACGCACGCAGCACGCACGCACGCACGCACGCACGCACGCACGCACGCACGCACGCACGCACGCACGCACGCACGCACGCACGCACGCACGCACGCACGCACGCACGCACGCACGCACGCACGCACGCACGCACGCACGCACGCACGCACGCACGCTAGCACGCACGCACGCACGCACGCACGCACGCACGCAGCAGGCTGCATGCTTGCGCGCGCCACACGCACACCGCACGGCGCACGCGCACGCGCGCGCGCATACGCGCACGCGCTTACGCGCACACGCGCGCGCACGCGCACGCGCACGCGCACGCGCACGCGACGCGCTCGCGGCCAAACGTCGAGCGCTGCCTTGGACACGCTACGCGCAACGGCAACGGCGAACGCGCAGCGCGCGCGCGCGCCGCACACAACACTACGGCACACACACACAACACACACCCACACACACACACCACCCACACACACACAGACACAACACACACTGACTCAAGACACACAGGGGACCGCAGGACACGCAGAACGCTGGGACACGCCAGACTCGCAGACACGCAGACTGCCGCAGACACGCAGACACGCAGACACGCAAACACGCAGACACGCAGACACGCAGACACGCAGACACGCAGACACGCAGACACGCAGACACGCAGACACGCAGACACGCAGACACGCAGACACGCAGACACGCAGACACGCAGACACGCAGACACGCAGACACGCAGACACACAAACACGCAGACACACAGACACGCAGACACACAGACACACAGACACACAGACACCAGACACACAGACACAAAGACACACAGACACACAGACACCAGACACACACAGACACAGACACACAGACACACACACACAACCATGACACGCTGCCACCAAGACAGGGCCTATCATATCACGCTAATGGCTTTGTATTGCCTCTCACGCCGCGTACACGCTTTGGAGAGTAAGCTGCAAACTTATGAGAAAAAGAAGCATGCAGTAGCCTGGCTGTAGCCTAATCAGTGCAGGCCCGCTCAAACAAAAGGCAACAGACTCACGTTGGCTGATTCATAGTGCAAGTTCTAACCGAGGCACGCGCCATGGAAGAGATCATCCAACTCCACCAACTCTTGTATTCAGAGTGGTAGAGGTTGTACCTGGTGCTCAGCTATGTCCGGACATGCCCAGCTCACGGCTGCTTGTTTCCAAATGCGATTGGTCAGGTTTGTGCTCCGGAGGATCCAGCAAGTGAAAAATCCCGTTTGCAGTGACAACAGTGGGTCAAGGAACGCAAACTATATGCAAGCTTGGCTGGGCCACTGGCAAACCCCAGCAAGCTGAGAGTGGGTAGAGCACCATCTTGGTGTAGGACATTGCCCTGGACGGGAGTCGTTCAGAATCACAACGCCACTCGGACGAAGCGGTTGGCAAAAAGCATCGCCTTGCGTCTACCTCTTCTGTGTAGTCTTCGTCAGAATGGTCGGTGGAAGCGGCCTCACATTCACAAAGGCATGACAGCGTGGAATGCATCCATGCAGTGCCAAACATTGCATGCAAGCAGCAGCAGCAATGGCGCGCCCATTCCTCACCCAAGGTAGCAGCAAGTGCCTAGGCTTGCTGTGATACCTTAGGCCTTTCGCCAGTTCATTTTCTGCCTCTGGTCTATATCAAAAATCACCAATTGGTAAGCCAGCGTCCATCTCAGCCCGAGCCTGGCCACACCTGCTGTGCGAATTTCTGGCTGACCAACTGAAGGGCCGAATATGGTCAGCACTTGCATATAAGGGCCATACGGATGTACTTCCATATGCTGAAACAGGCTTGCCTCAGGAGACATTTTTGCACGGATGTGACGCACGTGCCCAGCAATCCTAGAACGGGACGATGACAAGGACTGAGGAGCGCACACGCCCAACTGAAACAGAAGCAGCTTTGAGACATCCACGTCAAACAAGTACAGGAACCATACCACCTCCTCGCGCGCATGCTGAAAGCCGATGTCTTTGTAATCATCGTTGGTGCCCAACCTGCAGGGCAGCGGTGCCCATCGATCGGCTGGACAGCCCAATGTAGTCAGCACCTGGGGAAGCTAGCTACATTCTAGGTTGATGGCATCAAGTTGGCAAGAACATGGCGCTGGACGTGCACAATTCCCTTTGTCAGAGGCAAGGACGGCCTTTGAAGAAGCTGACATCGTTCTTGAATGCCAGCCTTAAGCTCACTCTCGCTGTCTCTCCCCCTCTCTCTCTCTTGCCCTCTCTCTCCCCCTCTCTCTCTCTCTCTCTCTCTCTCTCTCTCTCTCTCCCCCTCTCGCTCTCCCCCTCTTGCTCTTTCAACAGGGGGATGGCGGTGAGAGCAAGCTGCCCATGCCCCACGGGCATGCCATGAAGCCCTTTTCAGGAAGGGGTCTGCGCTGCATATCAGCAGGCGGCGGAGTCGCGCAATGGTTTTGTTTGCCTGCTCAGTCGTTCAATGCCACCCTTAAAGGGGACATGACCCCCTTCCTGCCAAGTTGTTGTTTGACTGTGTTCGCAAAACTAGTGCGTAACCTGAAGCAACTTCTGCATGCGGGTAGTTCGGGAAACCCGATTCAACTTGGGCTTGGGCGTCCACAAACTCATCTGCAAAAAGCCAACGACCTCAGCAGATGGTGTGCAACTCACAACTTGCAAGTCTTGCAAGCCGCTGTCTTGCCTGCATGATGACGAGCACATGCAATGGGTATCGTAGTAAGAACTCCTTGCGTCCATCACAAACTTGCAGCTCCTCACAACCAGAAAGAGCGATCTGCCTTGACTTCGTCGAAGTGCTGCTCTGTGAAACCAAGCTTCATGTACCTAAACATGTAGACATATAATATGCTAAGCCCCCACAAAGCCTACCAGAACCCACTTTCTTGGCTGGGTTTTAGCAACGCCGCCCAATGTGGAGCAAAAGCAAAGCAAGCATCTGCAAAAAGTGCAGTTTCTGCATTCTGCATCCTGCATGTCATAGACTCGTGTGTCTCGTTTGCATTTCGCAACCTGTCGAAATGTCGCGCAACATGCTGCCCTGCGGTTGGTTGCCTCTAGTTTGTTGATTCTGTTTGGTTGCCTTGTTTGGGGAAGGGGCGGTCTGGTTGAGGGGGGGAGGGGGGTGGGGGAGGCTGGGGACTCCTTGTTGGCTTGACAATCAATGAACTACGAGCTGTTCCAACACCACGCCTGGAAAAACGCAGCACAACATGTTGCGAAACATTGCTTGGGCTACCAGACTCCACTATCGCAATGATTAAGTGAATGGTCTCGGATGCCCTCTCAAGAAGCTGCAGTTCACCCTGTCAAACCGTCCAATGCTAGACTCGTGAGAATGCTGCCAGGCTACTCTGAAGTGCATGATTTACTTAGATGCAGCTGCCCCGCTACATGCCTAGCCATTGCCGTGGTACAGTTTGAATGCCATGCTGAGCTGTTGGGGTCTCAGGGTACCACCGCGAATGAGGCCCTGGGCAGCTCAAAAGCGCAACATAAAGCTCTCGGACGTCGAACGTTACTCTAGTTAGAAAGTGGATGGCGCAATACAAATTTATAACTCAGACCCAACGGCTACCTTCGCCATCCCTTTTACCTCCGCATCTAGGATGTGACCAAACGGTGAAACACAAGAAGATAAGAAATGGACGAGGCAAGCCGGGATCAGATTATCCTTTCACCATCCCCTGCCATTGTGCCCCGACAAATTGACAAATGACGAAACATCTCTAGAATATATGTTCTTTACTATACCTCTCAAAACCTATCTCGAGGAAGGGCACGGCTTGATGGCTTCCGTCATTGTACGTGTGGCAGTGTACTTCAGCATGCCAGAGAAAACCACCTGGCGCAGATTGTGCCAAGCAAACACACGGTAGTCGGCTACCGAGCAAACCTTGCCAAGCTCCCCCGAAGCCCGCCGATGCAATGCAGCTTGTTGCTTGCCCATCGCATTTGCTTCCCTGCGTGAAAACACACACTTGAACTATGACGTTCGGCGCTCATTTGTTTGACTTGCTTGCCTTCAGACTACACCTTCCACTCATTCCCATGTTAACTGACTGCAGCAAGCTCCCTTCAAACCGGAGCATTTCGCGACGCGGCCTCATTCGATGGACTGCAACTCGGCGCCGGCTCTCAAAGTGCAATCTCTTGTTTGCGCTTCGCATTTGAAATGAGCGCGCTGGCGGGCTTGTTGGCCAGCAGCAATTCTACAATCTCGGCAATGCCCGTCAAGCAAAGGTAGCCACACATTATCTTCAGGATCTGAAAGGTATCGTCTTGATGGTTGCCCGAAAGCTGCGTCATAGGCAGCAGGAAGATGCGCGCGAGATCGCGCAAGTCAAGTTGGCGTTCCCGTCTTTGAGTGAGTCCCCCGTGATGTTTGGTGCCTTTGATTGAGCCTGTCATCCTTTGCATGTTGTTTGCCTAAATATTGCTTGAGGAACCTGATGTGATCACAGGCGGTTCACTGTGATGTTGTGTAGTGCGTCCAGTTACTCTCAGCAGTTGGCCATTGGGCCATGGGACGTCTTTTGCATGGATGGAACGCGCAATCCAAAGCTGACATCTTTACATCGCCCCGTTTGGGGGGGGGGACGCTGGACATGTACTTTGCATTGTCTGGGGTTTGTAAGCTTGCATTATTTTCAGAGACGTGCCAGAATGTAAGGTGACATTTTGGACGCTGGTGGGCCCATCAACAAGGTACCTCACACATAACCAGCTTACATTTTCACGAAGATGTACTAGTACATTTGTCAGGTGCTTGAGCAGCACTTGGGGAGATTGGATGAGATATGAAGCAAAACGAGTCAGAGCTAATCTCAACGCGACTCAAGATTTGCGCAAAATTATGCCGCTGAATGCAATCATTCCAATTGGGGTCTGATGCCGTCTTCTACTGTCAAGTATGATATTGTATTTTCCTGTATTGTCATGCGTTCTGCTGTGTTATCTTATTCTGTCTGCTTGCGCTGTGTTTTCCTGCACCAGTGCTGCCCGGCCAATGTGACATGTGTACTCCAGTGGCTTCAAAAGAAGGAGGGGGAGAGGGGGTCAGTAAATGCAAGCTACATTTGCCCCTCCTCCCCCGGTAGGGCGGGGGTTAAAATGTAGCTTGGCACCTTTTTCTCCCCCCCCCTAAAACAACAGATTGACATGTTCAAGGATAATCAAGGATGTCCTTAAATTCCCATGAATTGTTGGGGATTGACGGGGTGGGTCAGCGTTGAAGGCGGGGGGTGCCCGCCCCCCAACAAAAACCGGAAATACAACCCCGGGGAGGCGGTCCCCTTACATTCTTTTCTGAGGAGGGGGGGGGGGGGGGCAGGGGGCGAAAAATCAAACTACATTTTCATGGGGATGTCTTTACTGTTGACTCTGCGGACGGACGAAGTTGGGCACCGTCTCACCCGTGGCTTCAGCACATAAAACAGATCGGGCAAAGAGCACGGATTCATCCGTCAACCATGTCTCCCCTCACCGAACTTTGCCTTTCGTGCGGACGGCCTGGGGGCCAGTAGATGGTCTCCTGCCGGACTCCTGCCTCTCTTCGCTGTGGCTTTTGCCAAACGCACTACACGTTTGCGTGCTCCAAAAACAAAGGCGTGTGTCTCCCAGCTGCCCACGATGCCCAATGCATCGTTTGTGCATCTCTCCAAGTCTGCTGTCGCTTTGGAAAGGCGCATGATTCCGCCTAAAGGCGCATGAAGCCGCCTTCGTAAAAGAAGACTGGTTGACCCAACTCGGAACGCGTTTTCTTGTTCCTTTACGGGTGCCGCGCATGTGCTCATCCTGAAGCAACTCGAAGTAAGTCGGTTTCCGTGAAGATCCCTCATCGCTGCCACACTGAATCCGCCGTCGTTGCGCTTTTCGTGTCGCGCGGCCTCCTGCATCGAAGGGATGCTTGTTCGCAAACAAGCCGTCGCGCTTCGGCTCTTTGCATCATAACGCCTAGTGCCTTGTGGAATGATGCTCTTTGTAGCAAGTTTCTGTAGGTGGGGTCGCGTGACAGTTTGGGAACCTAGCGCCGTTTTGCAAGGAAGCTGACACGGTCATCGGTGTTTGGTGCCAGCACTGCGATCTGCAGTATTCTGCAGTGACCTGCCCGCCTCTGCAGAAATGTTGGGGTCCAACCTCCCGTAATTGTTTTTCCCACTGAACCGCACAAGCCATGGGCAAAATCTCAAGCTCTGCCTCGCCTTGAAGTGTTCGAATCCAAAGGTCTCCAAGACTTGACACCTTGGGCAGTCTATCTGTCTGCATGAGCCTGATCACCCTGGCTCGGGTAAGGTGCCTGCCCACGTCTCTGCTCAACGTGTCGACAAAAAAGGGCGGGGCATACCGCTTTTCTTTGTTCGACCTGGGCCATCAATAGGGAGAGATGTTGTCAACAGCCCCACCCACCAGCGAAGCAGAGATTACTTCGCACGTTCTCCCGCTGGCACCCAATTGTCATGCTGCGAATGTTGACTCCATCGATTTGATCCGAGCCACAGAAGTAGCACTGGATATCTGACCTTGGTGTTGGATTGCCCCCTCTTCAATTCGCAATGCCGCCCTGTCGAATGCAGCCGGGACACAGAACGTTCGCCAGACGGAACTGGCAGGTCGCCCTTGAAGACCAACTCCTTCGAGACATGTCAAGTGTCAACTGGTGCTAGTTGCCCTTGCCGGTTTGGCTCAAGGCCTTGTACTGCAGCGGGGCTGGATATCTGTCATCATAATCCTCACGGATAAATAGCAGACTTTTAGCAGTGCAAATTGTTCAGGCAAGGCCTCCGAATCAGCTGCCACTTCCTGCGATTGCTTGGCTTTGGCCCCACTTCCGAAAGTGCATCATGCTAGACACATCTACCCGAGGATAGCACCAATCGCAAAAGGGAAGCGAGGTGCGGCTCGATTTCCGGTGGAGCAAACTTAGTCACGCACTGCCCCCGCAAGTGCCGTGAGTCGTAGCATGGAAACCAGCGAAGCCAACAATGCCAATGTAGAGGCTGCTGCGAGAAATGTCTTCTCTGCAGCTTGTTGCTCTGGCTTCGCCACCTCACCGGTCGCTGGCCAAACACATCACGCACCACGCCGACTGCAAAGTCTGGAGCAGCCCACCTTGGCCTGTGCCAGCATAGCAGTGGCAACCAGCAGGCCTTGATAGGACTGGACCACAACTCACTTGTGAAGTAAACTCTGCTTTCCGAATGGAAAGCACCGGACGTGCCGCCAAGGCTGAGCTGGCAGCAGTGCCGCAACGCTGCAGCAAGTGGAGTTGGCCTCCAATTTTCGTGTCAATGCTTAAGGTCGCGCTATTCATTGAATGGCACAGCGTGACCGTTTTAACTGCTTCTGCACTGCGCGGCGGCAGACTGGGCCGAAAGCTCCACAAAGGCCAGCATCACGGAGGAAGATGCAACCTTGCCACCAGTGCTTCATTGAAGACACAGGTCGCATCTGCGGCAAACTTCTGTCAACAACAATAACCGCCATGAGGTCCGGGCCCAGAATATTGCGGTTGGGTCAACTGGCACTTCCCAACCTTGGGTGAGTGGCGTGGTGTGCACATCACACCTAATCCAAAAGTTGTTGCGAGTAGCGTAAGGTGCGGGCCAATGCCAGGCAACTTCAGTTTTAAATGTTGCCTCGGTGCGGGGTCTGCGGTTTGCTACCGGGGCTGACTGACTACGAAACTTGGAGTCCACACTGGTCTGCCTTCGCCTGGGCTGGGACTGTGGAGTCCGAAGCGGCGGCAAGAGTAAGGTCAGAGCGTCAAGCAAATTCCGACGCTTCGAGACCTGCGATGCCAGCGCTCGCTGAAATTTCACTCCAGTGCCTGCCTTGGGGAGTGGCTTCACGAGCGTGGAGGACGTATGCAGCCTGGGGCCCGTGTTTTTGTTAATTCCAAAAGCGCAAGCGCGCCCCAAGTCCCCAGCGCGTGCTCCGTGAGAATCCCGCGCGAAGGTGGCCTTCAGCTTTGCCGCAACATGTCCAAGCAGGTTGCCGCAGGTTGCCGCAGGTTGCCGCAGGTTGCCTTCTGAGCTACGTGCCCCTTCCCCCTGCTGCTCGCTTTCCCCAATTCTTCGCTGAGCCTGGGCTTGTGATGGGCTTGCCTGAGCCTGTCGATTCACAAAGCGTGTTTCAGGATGTGCCTGGCTCCTGATCTCACCAAATAGCTGTGTGCGTAGAGCAGCGACTGGTTTCTTCTGACCTAGGCTACAGAATCGCAAGGGCCATCCAAAGCACTGTGTGCGAAAGAGAAGGGGGTGGTGTGCGTGCACGCATGCATACACGCCCAACCGCCTGTCGGCACGCACGCGAGCCCCTTCGCGCACCATGCTCCAAGGCTGGCGACACTGGATTACGCGTTTCTAGCTTGTCAAGGCAGTCCTGGGCAAGCTTTCTTGGCTTGCTGTACGTGCCGAGAACAGTGCGAGCAAACCCAGGGGCAAGCAGGAGCAAGCTGAAAGCTCTGAATCCTGAATTCAGAGCACATTTGTGAATTCTGAGGCCCGAGCTGCTTGCAATGCAGGCATGGAGAATGGCACTGTGGCCCTGCATGCCGCTATTGGAAAAACTTTGGCGGAACCAGTAACTCTTGAGGGCAAAGCTGAAGCAAAGGTGAAGAATCACCGAATGCGACCTGAGCACGCATCGACCACTCGCCAGCTGACAAACTTCATTCAGCCTTGAATAGCTTGGAATCGGGCTGTATGGTTCAAGAATGGCATCTGCTCCAGTTTGCCCAGCCCTTGCCAAGTCACAAAGCTGGGCTTGCTTGGAAACAAATGGTACTGGGATACCTTCAGCTGTCCACCATTCTAATGTCGAATCAGTCGTCAGGTAGACCTGGGAGACCGCACAACTCACAGGCATTGCGGCGCTGCCCCCATGCCAGCTATTCAAAACTCCTTGCTAGCGCACCCACTGCAGAATTCAGGCAGCAGCATAAATGCCCACACGTTCCTTCGGAAGAAACAGCGGTCCTAAGCAAGTCATGGTTGGGCTTGAACAGAAGGTGTCAACAACTGTGCACAGAAAGGATTCAGTCGCCAAGCCTCGCAAAAGGAAGCAGGTGGCACACATGCGTAGGTCCAGCAGCTTCAAAACGCACCATTCGCAACCTGCTTAAATAAGGAAGAGCTGCGATAGCAGGAATCTTGGTCTGGCATGCACCGTGGCGCTTGGAACCTGAGTTGCTGAAGTGCTCAGTTTGTCTTGAGGGGGCACGACAAGGAGAAAGCGCAAAGTAGAGCTGAAGGAAGCTGCTGATGAGCATCCTGGCCAGTTTGCGCAAGTTCCCGCAGAGCGTCAATGACCCTCGCTGCACTTAATCAAGCTAGCCCAGAGCCGACCAAACGAAGAGGACATAGCAAACGTATTTGGCGGCTCCCATCAGGGCGACCTGAGCGTCCAAATGTTGCAAGCACTGCACCTTGTTTCACTGTCACTTCACTTACACTCACTTAGTACCTTGCAGCTCCTGCTCCCAACCCACATGGGACGCAGGCCGTTCTACGCTGCTTCTTTGTCTTGGTGCTTGGCCAGCTGACAGCTGGAGCTTGTGAGTGTGTGTGTGCCCTTGCATTCCTCCCAAACATGTCGGCTAGTCTTATCATGCCTAGTTCACAATCCCGACACTGCTGCCAACATTGTTTCGTGGCATGCCATGGCATGCTGGAGGGGACCATCGGTGCCTGTTACATTGAGAAATGCAGCGGTATCAGGGTATGGGTCGTGCTCAAGCAACCTGCCACCTTGTGCAAGAGCCCTTTGCTCCCACGTGGCAGCAGCTCATTTCATCGGGGTCTTGCCTGCGTTCAATGCCATCTGCTCATACACAAGTATTGCCCAATTGCATTCCAGCCTACGTCATGACGCTTGATGCGAATACCCGGACGCACTTCCTGGACCGAGCTGCAAGGCATTACAGCATGCTGACCGAGCTTTCGAACTTTCGAATCTGCCTGTATTCATCTCGGTGGATTATTTTGTGGAAGCAGTGCCTGGCAGCATGCTCAGACAATGCTACGCCGTAGGCCGCTTCGTTTGCATGCCTGGACTTCTCGATGCACCACACCCGGGGCATAGCCATAGCTTTTCTGCTTGGCCGTTGCTTTACTTCCTGCGACTTGTGCTGCCGCAGTGCCACGTGTGCCAGGCCTGAGCCGCTTTTCGTCCTCCAGGTACCTTTCCACGCCCCGCTGAAGAATAATATTGTCGTCCTCTGGCAGCAAGGATGCATGCAATGCATGCCGTATTCATCCAGGATCCTTGGAGTAAATGAACTGCATGGGAACGGGAGGCTCCAATGCATGAACCGCTGCGACGTCTGCACTGGCCAGCTTGGTAAGCATCTTCTCCGGCTTGTTGTACAAATATTCTTTCGCAACAGAGTTAGCCTTCGGATCAACAAATCACCATGCACAGTAAAGGCTAAAGAGGATAGCAGCAGAACATGACACAACCTTTTAATCAGAAACTGCAAATTTAATGAAAAAGCCCGGCTGACTCGCGAGCAAGTCACCCCGATCGTCCCAGCAATCGCACGCTTGCCAGCGACCTCTGCTGCCTTCTTGCCCTCTTCAGAGCCATCGTGATCTAGTGAAGCTGCCTGCAGCTTCAAGTGACAAGCTTGTGCGGCCAAGCCAGCAATTGGATGCAACTTAATTGCCCATCTCCACTCGTGGCTTGAGACCAACTTTGCTGCCAAGAGGCCACTGAGACCGTGGCGGCAATAGTCTGCACAAAGCTTTGTATGCAAGAGTCAATGGGCACTTGGCTGTCGCAGGCCGAATCCAAAATTATTCCTTAGCAAGGCGGCCTCACACTCCAACTCCTTGCAAACTTTGCCTGGAGGCCTCACGCTTAGTCGCTTGCTGTTGGGGCTTGGGTTGTGTGTGTTGCGGTTGGGGTGGGTTTAGGGGGGCGCGGGAACCTGGGATTGCGGGTTTGGATTGGATTCGCGGAAGTGCCTTTCTTTACATTGAGCCTCACATTTCTTCTCTTTGCGTTTCTTGCAAATTTCCTTGAAGCGTAGCAGCACGGCTCATGTCTGCCATGGCAACTGGCGCAAGCAATTTTGCGCGATTCCCGACGCAGTTGCAGTTTTTTGCCGGGCAAACACGCGATTCGAGGGATTACGACACATGATTGCCCGACCAGCAAACAAACTTCAATGACAAACACTGGCTGCGCACACACCGCTCCTCTAGATGGTGATGTTGTTTGTTCAAGACTCATCTGTTTCGAGCAGTTCGTTCTTGGCCTCAAGCGTTCTTGGCCTCAAACCCGCACAGGCGCTGGACTCGCGCCCCTCTTGGCTTGCTAGATAGGAATGCTCTCCGCAAAAAGAGGACACGCGAGCTTGAACCAACTTTTCTGTCCCACTTAAGCATACGACTTCCTCTACCGCACACGAAACTATCTCAAGACTTCCCTAGAAAGTTGCCTTCAGCCAAATGTAAGAAACCCTGCTACCTTTTGTTGGCAAAGGTGTTTCTCAGGAAACTTACAATGGTGCCCAACTGAACTGTAAGCATGTGTCCATGCTCAACGTCAAGTCACAAAATCCGAACCCGCATGCTGCACATTCAAAGGGTGCAACAAAAATAACGTGTCTGAGCTTCCTTGCAGCACCTGCTCCATCGGAGGCAGGGGCGCAGCCAATGCAACGCCTTTCTCCTGCCCGCTCGCACACAAACGCACGATCAGACCCGAGCGCCAAGCTGCTGACCCACAAATATCCTCTAGATTGGGGCAGGCCCGGAGGGTGCTCCACGCTTGCCTCAGCAGGGCTGCCTGACATTTGTGTGAACGCCTCCATCTCACGAAAAGCCATCAAAGCCAAAGGTGCAGCAGCTCGGTCCAGGTATGCATCCCAGAGTTGCTGAACAGGTGCACCTGGCATGTGCTCTTACAGTGCTTTGAGGGGAGAAACACACTCGTTGAACTCTTCAAAGTCCAAGTAGCCAAAAGCTTGGGCGCGGATGATGTTTGAGCCCACGCAGAAGCGGCAGCACTGATGCCAGCAGCGCCTGGCCATCACGTTGGCTCTTACGTCGTTGCGTTAGCGGAGGCATAACTTGCAGGCCAGCCGCATTGGCAGCGCAAGCCAAAGCCTGGGGCACAAATCTGAGATTGCACATATTGCGGTGCATCACGCATGAGTTGCAAGCACGTCGCTTTGCTTCTGGTTGCTGGTGGAGACAAAGATGGTACACTCCGGGAAAAGCTCTCCTTGGCCAGCCCCCTATTTCAGTGCCCATCCGAAATTCGACGCGCAAGATCGCGCAAGCATGCAGGTAAGCGATCTAATCAACAACATGCAAACGTCTCAGACAGTGAAACCTCGTCTGAGGTTTACCAGCAGGGGGAAGCATGACATGATGCACATGCGCAAGCGCAGGCAGCTTATCTTCAATGCAAAGAAGCTGTACAGCTCAATGACATCCTGCATGTCCTGCCCAACACTCTGTCCCATGAAAAAGTCTATCAGCTCTGAAAGGCTGTCCGCTAAGGAGCCACCACCCCATGCCAGCAGGAACACCACCTCAGCCAAGCTCCAACCAATGCCTCCAAACATGCAGCCACCGAAGGAGGCAGGTGCACCATGGGCGATGGTCTTGATTGCCACTCGCTTTTCCTTGCCTGCTATTCAGGCATCGTGCAGTACCTGCATCACTTGGCAGGATAGACTAAGCGACTACCCATTTCGGTGTCTTTATCATTCGTGTCCTCAGTATCCATCATGCAGTAGGCCCAAGCGCACATCGCACAAGACAAAAGCAATAAGAGAACGCCAGCAGCACCAAGCATAATGGCAACCCACTGCGTCTGAGCCTTCGCAGCGCGAGCAGGTGGCAGGTCAAATGAAGGCTCAGGTTCGGGAAAGTCGGTATTGATCTTCGCGTGGTAGTGGTGCTGGGGGCAATTGGCCTCTGCCACCCCCAACTTAGATTGCGTGGTGTCAAAGACTATATTCTTGTGAAGGAAGAAGGATATGCCGAGGACCGTCTCTCGTGACATGCCGTTGTTGGCAAATGCATAGCACCAAACATCCCCGCGCCCTCCCCGGAACATGTATGCGGTTGCTGGCCAGTTGACTGCAACCTGTAGGCTTCCACTAGTGAACATCAAGGAAATGTTGGGGAAATGTGAGGGGAATGCGTGGCTTCCCGATGTCAATTTCCAGCAGCTATCCCCTTCCGCTGAGGCAGCACACTTCTCATTCGAGCAACGGTTGGTCAAAGCCTGCTCAAGAGAATAGTAGATTTCTTGTGGAAGGTAGGTAAAGGTCGTGCCCGTGTCAACCACGGTCGTGCCAAATGACCGCTGTGTTGCAACCACGATTCCATCAAATATGATTTGTTGCAAGCCCACACCATAGTATCCGACATGGTGCAAGTTCACCCACGAGAGCGTCTCCCCAGGAGCATTGTAGCTAGAATCGTAGCCACCAACAGTCAGCATGCCGCCCCATTCTGCTAGGCAGAAGGCAAAAACTGCGTCACGGACATGAGCTTGGTCTTTGAACATGTCTCGCAGCACGTTGGAACTGCCAGTAATCTTGTGGGGGGCCAGGCCAAAAATGCCGTTGACTGTTTGGGTGTAGAACAGCTTTCGTTCATCTGTGTGACATCCCAGAGATGCAAACACAGCCTGGTTGTCCCCATCCGATCCATTTAGCCTGACAAGATCCTTGAACCACACGCCTGAAATACTGCTGCCTTCAGTGTAGGACTCCAGGTAGCCACAGCGATCCGCCTGGCAGCGGTCGCATCCCATGCCACAGGGAAGCGATTGACTCGTGTTTGAAGCCTTCATGTTGAAAAGCGGATTGAGGTGGTTCCCACAGTGGCTGCATCCAACACAGGGGAAGCCACAAAGAGCACTGCCTGTGTCCACAATGACCGAAACCGCCTGAGGCGGTGATCCAACTAACAGCTCCGCAAAGTAGTACGCGTAGGCATTGATGTTGCCATACAGTCTTGTGTGCTCAATGCGGTCATTGCCAACCGCACCTTCCCCAAAGCTGACGGTCAAGCAAAATAGGAGGATGTGAGAAGCAGCCATGGCTCTGACTGCTCCACGCTTAGCTAATTGTTGGTTTTGGCCAGATGTGCCTGCCAAATTTGGCCGATTCACTTAAATCATGAATCAAACAAAGATGATTAGATTTGTAAAAAGCATGCTGGTTGTGAAAATATGAACCTGCTGAGGAAAACATGCTTGAGCCGAAATCTGTAAGTCCAAAAGCCTTCCAAAACTGTGCAATACTATAGGCTTCAACCACCTAGCAAACTGTCCAGCCTGCAAGAAAGGCAAGCAACAGGACTCAAGTGAATCTCTGCCTCAGCGCTCTGGTTGCCAACTGGCAAGTCCACGTGGATGGCGCTCATGGGGTTGCCTCAGCATGGAAGGGAAAGCCATGATGAAAACGTAAGCCAGAATCAAACAAGCTGCTGGACTGATCGGACGAAAGACCAAGGCATTCATCAATGAGCAGCCTCAGGAACAGGAACAGCACAACACTCAGGTCCCAGAGCCATGCATGAAGAGTTTCAACTCCAGGATTCTTGCCCCAGCAGGTTGCTGCAGGAAGGAGCCTGCAGCTTGATGCGCTTGATGCCACTTGCCATGGCCCAAATCCTTCGCTCCTGCCTCTAGCATAGGCATCGAGCGCAGCCACTTTTTTAAATGGCAGTTGCCGCCCTTCGGAAGGCCTGTCCAGCAAGAGCTTTAACTGCAGCCATATGCTTGCTGCAAAGCTTGGTGCAGCTACGCAAGTAGGAACCCGAGAGCCGAACATCAAAAACAACAAAGCGCGCAACACAAGCATAACTGCAAGTAGTAGAAACTACACTCCACGCGCCTGCCTGCGCGCGTGCGCGCGTGCGCTTGTGCCGCGTGCGCGTGGGGGGGGGGGGCACATGTATGCGTGCATGCATGCAAGCATGCGTACAAACATGCACGTATGCATGTCTGCGTGCATGTGTACGTGTCTACGTACGCGCCGTGAGTGCGGCGCCTGCACCTTGCGCGGTGCCTGTATGTGCCTGCGCCTGCGTGCCTGTGTGTGTGTGTGCGGCGTGTGTGCAAAGTGTGTGTGTGTGTGTGTGTGCGTGTGCGGAGTTCCTGATCAACCCAGGAACCATTTGCAGGGGAGCTCGGCATGGCTGAGGGACCGCACTCAACGAAGCTACCTCAGTCATGGGATACCGGATCTGACAAATCCAACGTAGCTGTGCAACGTGGTCAGCAAGAAGCCACAAACTTCCCATGTTGCACCGCGCTAGTTCCCACTGTCAACTCAAGCACAAGATGGACGTCACGATCAATGTCTTATCAGTGAGCTTGATAATGTACTATCTTTGGATCAGTCGTAGTGGCTGCTCTGAGAGACATTCCATGCAACGGGCGAGTTGCTGTGGAGAAGGGTCGTCCACAGCGTACAAGCCGCGCTTGCCAAGTCATATGAAAAAATGAAATCGCGACCAGGCAATGGGTGCCAGTGCGCCACAGAGCTGAACCAACCGGAAGAATCTGTCCACGTCAACAACATTTACATTGAAGAGGACGCAGGTCCAAAGCCATCAAGTGAAAGTCAAAAGATGCACGGCCCAAGGCGCAATCGCATGACACAACCAGAAAGAGCAACATCAAGCAACTTCAGACAATCTAATAGCGCAGCTGACAGGTAGCCTTGAAGGAGAAGGTGTACAAGTCCGAATTGATGGATTTATACTTGCAAGCGTGGTGGTATTTAACGGCAAAGCCGTCCTAGGGCAAACTCAATGTGTGCGCCCGAGGGCCTCCAATCGGTGTGTACACACTTAAACCCCCAAGAGGGAATCTAAAGTTCGAGTGAGTTTGGTTCAAGTGGGTTTGATTCGAGCCAGCCGCATCATCTGATAGGCTCAAGCGGCAAGACAGTTGGCTTCCCTCTAGATTCGAAAACGTTACGAAGCCCAACATGAAGATATGAAGCACACAGAGCGGCAAAAAAAGGGCCAAAGAAGCAACCTGTCAACATAGCTGGGCATCGCCATGGAGACGATTCAACACGCCACTGCGACGCAAAGTCCGGGACATCTCGGCTACCGCCCGCCGGAGGACTTCTTACCTGCTCGCAACAGACGGACGAGCCGCAATGTCACATTCAATCTGGCAAAGGGCCACCGCACGGAACACTCACAATCCCCACGCACAGATGCTGCGGATCCCACTGCTGATCATCGTTGGTTTGCTATACAGAACCCTGCATCTGAGATCCTCCACTACATCTTTCTGAGAAACATAGTGGGCGGGTTCGTAATCGTCTGGGTCACTTTCTGCTGGGACAGCATGTCTGGCGATCCTGAAATGAAGAGTCGCAGTTTTCGAAGAGACCTCTACCTCTCCTGCATGCCTCTCTTGGCGACGCGAGCTTCCTGAACACAACCCTTCGAGGCATGGAATCAGGAACGCTTGGTGGAAAGGAAGATGGGCAAAGACGCGCGCCCGACCTACAAGGCCATCACCTCGCGTCTTCTCCAAAGACACCAACAAGGTCAAGGAAGCATGGAAGGCCTGTCAGCGCGTTGCCTCGCGATAACGCTTTGATCCACACGGGTATAACACGACCTTTGCTTGCAGTTGTGTGAGTTGCGCTGATGGTCACTGTCCAGATGAACTTTAGACCTGGCAGTCAGGATGGATCAAGATACGCAGGCTGATCCCTCGTTTGCGAATGAACAAGGCCAACAACTTGCTTGCCATCCTACTCCAGTTCTGGCAGAATAGATTGCCTTGCACGTATTTGCACAGTGTTTGTTTGTTTGGTTCTGTGTGTGTTGTTTCGTTTTGTTTGTCTTTGTTTGGCGTTGGTTGCTTTGATTGCTTCTGTTTGGTGTTGGTTGCTGTAGTATTGTTTTGGTTTTGTTTGGTTTTGTTTTGCTTCGCTTTGTTTGGTCTTGTTGTCCTGTGTTGTTTCTTTTGTTTGGTTTGGTTTGTTTTCCTTTGTTTCGCTTTGCTTTGTTTGGATTGTTTCTTGGTTTCTTCGTTTCTTTATCTCCCCGCCCTTTGTTTCCTTGTTTCTTCGTTTGTTTGTTTGTTTGTTTGCTTGTTTGTTTGCTTGTTTGTTTGCTTGGTTGCTTGTTTGTTTGTTTGCTTGCTTGTTTGTTTGTGTGATTCTGTATTGTGTGTGTGTTTTTTCGTTCGTTCGTTCGTTCATTTGTTCTTTCGTTCGGTCGTTCGATTGACTTCTTTAATGTGTTTGTTTGTTTGATTGCTTTTTTTGCTTGTTTGCTTGGTGTGTGTTTGTTTGCTTTTTCTTCTTTTAGTTTCTGTGTGTGTGTGTGTGTGTGTGCGTGCTTTTGTGTGCTTGTGTGTGTATGTGCGTTTGTGTGTGTTTTGTGTTTTTGTCTTTGCTTGCCTGCGCGTGCGTGTGTTATTGTTGCCTGTTGCGTGTGTTTGTGTCTGTGTCTCTTTGTGCGGCTGTGTGTGTGTGGTGGAGTGTGTGCGTGTGCGTGTGCCTGTGCGTGTGGGTGTGGGTGCGTGTGCGTGTGGGTGCGCGTGCGCGTGCGCGTGCGTGTGCGTGTGCGTGTGCATGTGGGTGTGCGTTTGTGTGTTTTGCGCGTTTGCCTGTTTGCGTGTCTGCGTGTTTGCCTGTTTGTGCGTTTGTGCGTTTGTGCGTTTGTGCGTTTGTGCGTTTGTGCGGGCATCTCTGCATGCATGCGCGCGCACGCATGTGCGCGCGGCCTGCTGGCCGGCGGGTGGCGCACGCGGGCGAATGCACGGGCGCGTGCTGTGTGTCTTTTGTGTTTCTCTGTGTGTGTGCATCCATGTTTGCGTTTTGGCTTCCGTGTGTCTGTGTGTTTGTGTGTGTGTGTCTCTGTGTGTCTCTGCGCGTCTCTGTGTGTGCACGTACGCGTGCGCGTGCGCATGCACGTGGACGTGGGCGTGGGCGTGTGCCTGTGCCTCGGCCTGTACGCATGCGCGTGCGCATGTGCGTGTGCGTGCGCGTGCGCGTGCGCGTGTGCGTGTGCGTGCGCGTGTGCGTGTGCGTGTGGGTGTGGGTGTGGGTGCGGGTGCGGGTGCGTGTGCGTGTGCGTGTGCGTGTGCGTGTGTAGGTGCGTGTGCGTGCGCGTGTGAGTGTGTGTGTGTGTGAGTGCGTGCGTGCGTGCGTGTGCGTGCGCGTGTGCGTGTCGGTGTGCGTGTGCGTGCGTGTGTGTGCGTGTGCATGTGCGCTTGCGCGAGCGCGTGTGTGCGTGAGCGTGTGCGTGTGCGTGTGCGTGTGCGTGTGCCTGTGCGTGTGGGTGTGGGTGTGGGTGCGTGTGCGTGCGCGTGTGCGTGTGCGTGCGTGTGCGCGTGCGTGTGCGTGTGCGTGTGCGTGTGCGTGTGGGTGTGGGTGTCTGTGTGTGTGTGTGTTTGTGTCTTTGCGTGTTTGCCTGTTTGCGTGTCTGCGTGTTTGCCTGTTTGTGCGCTTGTGCGGGCATCTCTGCATGCATGCGCCCGCACGCATGTGCGCGCGGCCTGCTGGCCGGCGGGTGGCGCCCGCGGGCGAATGCAAGGGCGCGTGCTATGTCTTTTGTGTTTCTGTGTGTGTGTGTGTGCATCGATGTTTGCATTTTTGCTTCTGTGTGTCTGTGTGTTTGTGTGTGTCTCTGTGTGTTTCTGCGTGTCTCTGTGTGTGCACGTGCGCCTGCGCGTGCGCATGCACGTAGACGTGGGCGTGTGCCTGTGCCTGTGCGCGTGCGCGTGCGCATGCGCGTGTGTGTGCAGGTGTGCGTGCGCGTGCACGTGCGCGTGTGCGTGTGCGTGTGCGTGCCTGTGCCCGTACACGTGTGCGTGTGCGTGTGCGTGCGGGTGCGTGTGCGTGTGCGTGGGTGTGGGTGTGGATGTGGGTGTGGGTGTTGGTGTGGGTGTGTGTGTGTGTGTGCATAGTGTTGAGATTGTGGAGTTTGCGTGTTGTTTTGTTGTGTATGCATGCGTGAGGGAGCCCGCGCGTGAGTGAGCGCTGGCGTGTAGGTAGTTCTTTGCTTGTGTGTGTGTGTGACTCTTCACACTTTAATCCCCTCCATGGTACTAAATAAGTGTCCTCTGTCGAATCGAATCTCAGCTGAATACAAATTAGGACCTTAGAATCTGTGTGTGTGTGTTTGGAAGCTTGGGGCAACTTTGCCTTGATCCGTTCTGAGCTCGTCTGAGCCTGAGCCCTGAACCTTTCTGACTGAGCCCCATGGTGTGTTCATGGCTTGAAATAGCTAAGCTTGTGCGTGTCATGCGAAATCTGCATGTTGGTGGGGGGGGGGGGGGTGATACCAAAAGCCAACAAGAACCACAGTTCTTGTTCGCTCACCCCGGCTAGCTGCAAATGGCAGGGTGCCTGCGACGGCCTTCCGGAGAGACTCCACATCTGCATCATCTACACCTTGATGCAATGAAACGACGCTTCTTGACGCTGCCAAGCTTACCCCGGCCGAACCACAACACCTCATTCAAATTAAAGCGGGCTTGGCTTCTCAAACGCGGTTTGCACAGCCTGGACTAAACTGTAGCACAAGATGCTGAAAAGCTCGTCCAAGCTCCTGTGCACATCAGCTTCATCCTTGGTAATGTTGGTATGGTAAAGCGGTGGTAAAGCAGCTGGAAGCTAGTGAGTAGTGCCGACAAAAAAATGAGAATGGCGGCAGCGGCTAGCAGAGTATCTGGCAAATTTGTGAGCGCACGGCTGGCAGCAGCACATCACCCTCTTTGATTCTAGGGCACAGCTAGGACGAACTAAGTCACACAGCCAAGCCACCGCAGCAACCGCGGGCTTTGCAGCTAGGTCTAGCGAGCGGAAGGCGGCAAAAATGTCATCTGCAGGCTTTCCTCAGACCAAGCCGGCCCGACAGTTGGGAAGCGAATGATCTGAGCTGAGAACGTTTGGCGGAGGTCTCAACTCGCTCAACTGGCTCAGCTCTTTCCGGCTGTGCCGGCGTCTGCGTGTCACTGGGGTCCGCGAAAGGATCCTGCATGCAACTTGGCAATGGCTCATCTCGAGACAATGCTCGTGAAAGCTGTCCCAGTCATCCATCAGATGCTAGCAACCGTGTTCGAGCACTAGCTGAACAGCTTCAGAGGCCAAAAATGCCGCAACACAACCGCACTTGAAAGCAATGCTGGGTGCTCGCTGCGAGAACTGCAATCATAGCAAACACGCAAGCGCAAATGTCGATCATTATCTGCCACGGACTTCAACCCGCTGCATACACTTTGAGCTGGCCGGCCAGAAATCCTCCCAGCGGTGGGCACAGCTCACAAAACAAAATGAGCGAATTAAGCCCGTGGGTTCAACGGACCCTAGAAACGGTATTGTTCACAGAACTGGATGCATGTGGGCAGGCAAGGGCATGTAAATTGCATCTTCATCAGATGCATCCCCTAATTCAATTGCACGGATCTACACATCTGCGAGTCGATGCGTCTATGCGTGAATGGGTCTGCGCATCTGTCTACATGTCTATGTCGTATGCATCTCCCTGCATCTATGCATCACACTGTACGCATGAGTCTGTGCGTCTATTGTATGTAATTATGCCAGTACACAATGTAGCATGCAAGTATCTAAGTATGTAAGTATGCCAGTATGCAAGTAAGACAGGCAATATGTATCTATGTATGTATGCATGCATGTATGTATGTGCGTGTGCATGTGTATGCATAGTTGAGTGCACGTATGTACATACGAAGGTAGGCAGGTAGGTAGGTAGGTAGGTAGGTAGGTAAGTAGGTAGGTAGGTAGGTAGGTAGGTAGGTATGTAGGAATGCACGCATCTGTACAACTATCTACTCATGCATCTTCGCATCTCTGAGTGGATGCAGTTCTGCATATTTTCACCCGCATATCCATGCATTCTACGCAGGCACGTATCTATGTCGCTATGTGACAGAGTAGGCATGCATGCGCGTTTTTGTGTATGCCTGTGTCGGTACGTAGTAAATTTACAATCGGAAATAGGCAGCCATGTTCTAGGCAATGCACATATATACTTAACTTGATATACATGTGTATATACCTGTTTTTTAAAACATCTGACTAAATGCATCCACCCGCTTCTGTGGGAAAAGCACGGGCTATGAAACTGAGCAAATGCCCCCTCTCGGCAGAAAGCTCAAGAATAAAAATTTGAATTCCGGACTCATCAATAAGGCCTTGCCGCCTTCTTCACACTGGAGGCCTCCAAGGGTTCAGAACAGGAGGCCCGAGTTTCGATTATCAGCTTAATCATGCACGAAGACGGTGCAACTAAGCTTGACTCTTTGGCATGATGCGCCCGGCTGGTGGTCACAAAGCTTTGGCCTCAAGCGGAAACTGGACAACTCTGCGGGAAGCCCGTTTTTGCAGGTGAGCTGCTGTGTAGCAACTCCTTTGCGGTGGGTCTAGCGGATCCATCGAATACAAAAGCGGCCTTCCAATCACGCACTCCGTGGTGACAATTCTTGGCACAATCCAGCCTTGCCTCAGGCCTTCCTTTGACCCGGGGCATGTTTGATAAGCCGAGAATTGAGAAGCCTGCCTAGAAACCTTGATCACAAGCATCATGCCGTTGTCTCAAGAAACAATGAAAGGAAGTCCGAGTCAGGAGCAAAGAGAGTGCAAAGCAAGCTGCCTGCCTCCAACAATCTTCCGAAGTCCCTTTTTTCTGACAGTTGGCTTTGCCAACCGTCGCCTTGGCAGAGAGCAGCCGGGGCAATGTAAAGCTACCGCCATTGTGCAATTGGCTCAAGCTGAGACCGCCGTCAATCTCAAGGCATCAGCAATTGCCCCAGTCATCTGAGGCCAAAAGGCCCACTGAGCAGCAAACCCAACAAATGGTGCAGCCCAAGCCTGGTCTGCAGGCACAGGCAATCAGTCAAGCACCGTGGGCCCGCTATGACAGCAAACTCGCGGCTCAAGCTTCTGCGTAGGTCTTAGAACTTCAACTTGATGCGGGCCGGCGTGTCGGACAGGCAAATGGCCACGAACAACTGAAAGAGCTGGTGTAAAATTCCTCCGCGGGCACTGCTCATCAGCTAGAAATGAAGCACGGTGAAGCCAGGTACCGTGCTGACCCCAGCCCACCCCCTGCCAGAAAACAGCAAAAATAGAAGAGCGGCCCTGATGGGCACAAGTGTACACGGCAACCCTACGCAGTAGAGCTGTGCAAGCAACATACTCGCAAACAAAGCCTCGCCAGCAGCCTATGCAAGCAAGCAAAGCCGCACATTGTTAACACTTGCGCAAGCAGTCGCTGCGCAAGTAGGTTGCTGTAAAAGTAGTCGCGTGTATGCGGCCACCCTTTTGCACAGAGCCACTTCGCAGTCCTGGCAATTTCCAGCGGACACTTCCTCGGCTGGCACCGTGAAGAATTCAGCAGCTCCCAAGTAATCAAACCACCACAAACGGGTGTTTCGCGCTTGTTGCTTGAAAAGACCTCGACAAACTGCTGCCACATGTGCTTGTTGCCAAGTGTCCGCAGGAAGGATGAAGGAATGCCGTCTGCCATGCCACAAAGACCCAATGCTTGAGCGACAGACACCTGCAGCACCCAAGGAGCGCATATTTATATATACATAAATATTTGTGTATATATATATATATTTCCGCACCTGCACAGCATCTCGGTCATGGCAAAGCAGAAGACTAGAAGCACCTGAAGTGACCAACAAACTGCGTATATCAAGCCATGGTGTCTTAACTGACCAAATAAACGCAACTAAGGCAGCGGGCGTCCGAAGAAGAGTTCGGAAAGCACCACGGCCAAGCTCCAAACATCGCTGCCTTAGAGGCCACGCTGGGCCCATGGAAGCTGCACTCAAATGCCAAGGACCGCGCTGTGCGTAACTGGCAATCCCAAGCCCATTTCTGGGGAGAAGTAGGCACCTTGCACAGCGTCAGCCAGCAGGTGCAAACCATGTGTTGCCGCACGCATCTTGATGCAAAATTGTGGTTCAGGCCATGACGACAGCCAACACCGCCCTCCAACATATTCCAGTTCTGTCCAGGCAACTCCCTCTGGTCTAGGCCTCGAATGGCCAACACTTCACGCCAGTCGTGCCAAGTGCTGAAGCAAGTTGCAGTGTAACTGGGTCTGCCACGGGCACAATTGAAGTCAACAATGCGAACTGTCTGGACTGTGGATGGTCCCTGGCGTGTCACAAAGTGGACCTTCCACTGCAAGTCGAGCAATGTCAAACTGCGGGTTGTGAAAAAATGAAAATGGACGCTACCCCGGAATTGCTGGAGCAATTGCCAGCCGTTGCAGCGCCCAGGCTCAAATGTGCTCAAATAGCGAATTCTATGCGGTTTTACGCAATTGTTTACATACTCAAAGGTTCTTCATTGGCCAGCAACCTCGCCAGCCTGTGATGCTTGCATGTGTGTGTTTGTGTGCCTGAAGCATGTGCGTGCGCAGCGCATTTCTGTTTCTGGATGGCTTTTGCCTTTTCAATCTTACTACCAGAGCAGCAACATGCAATATGCAATTTGCATTCCTGAAAATAAGCCGGTTGCAAACACCGCAACAATTCTGGTGAAATCTTCCTCTGCCAAGTTCGCCATCATATTATTTTTTCAGCCAGCAGTGCACCCCCCCCCCTCCCCCGCAAAGCGTGCTCTGGAAGGTGCGGGGATGCCATGGAGGTTGCGGTTTTGTACTGCAACTTCGCAGTAGGGCTGCGTGCAGCTGTTCCGTCTCCAAACCGTGGATACTTTGCTCACACAACTGCACTGGGCGCCGTGCCTGGCCTCAACCCAAATGATGTTGTCAGGCTTAAGATCCTCTGTGCACAGGAATGCTACATGCCAGTCATCTTCTCAGGCAGCCGATAAAGGCAAAGGCTGTAACGAAGCATTCTGGAAGCCAAGGTGCATTGTGCACAATGCCTGCCTCCTCGAGGAGGGTTAGCCCTCTCAAAGCACCTCTTGCAACCGAACGTATTTGCGGCACCTGCAGGCAATGCAGTGGTGGAACCACGTCCAATTCCCTTCCCACTCGCACCTGCGTGAAGAATTGTGGATCTAACTCAGTCCTTGGCAGAATGCTTCGCAAATGCAACATCAAAGCTGCTGGCATGTACGGATAGTGGGTTTACTTGCCAGCCCAGCCACTTCCGGAGCAGATCCACACCATCCACTAGGGACTCAACAGTCCAGCCCAAGCCATCAAAAAAGGCCTGGCATACACATTGAACGAAGACTTGGACCGCATGCGATTGACTCAGGTTGACAACATGCCAACTGTGCCTCCAGCAGCCTTGGGAAGAATAAGCTGCTGGGGTCCACCTGCGCTGCTACGCCGTCGAGCCAACAGAGCGCATGGAAACGCATGGCAATGCATGGCCTGTTGAAGGCGCTGATTGACCACAGCCAGATCCGCGAGGAGCTCCACATCGAAAAGGCGGTGCCTCTTCAAGCAAACCTGCACCAAAGTCCAAAGCGCAGAAGCTAGAGGCAACGAGGCAACGAGGCTTTGACAGCTTGCAGGCCAAGCACGCATCCTCAAGGTGTCTGGACTTAGCCCGCTCGGCACACCTTCTTGAGGGTCTGGATGTCCGTCGACAGATACGCTTCTGCAAAGCTGCCGTGGCCCAGCCGCTCCAAGATCTGATACCTTCCCTGGGCGAATGAAAAGCAAACAAGACATTCAAAGTTCAAGATGTTGCTGGCAGGTCGCCTGAATCAGCTGCCCAGACCGCGCCCTGTTGTGCTGGCTGGTCTCCCGCAAAGGTCCCACCACATTGCTTTGCATTTGAATCGGAATTGATGACCTGGGTGCTGCTCGGATTCGTGCACAGCTTTGCGCTATTTTGCGTTTATGCATTGGCTACTCAGCGCGGTCCAGTTGACCCGCGCCCGGCCGGCCGCCTTTGCAAACGCGGCCGCACGGAGTAAACAGGCGCCCGGCCACCTGTGCTCAGAAACCCACGCCTGTCCGCCCGCGCTGCTCAGCGCGGTCCAGCCACCCAAGGGTACAGAGTCGCTCCGCCGACCGCGCCATATCACGCCGTCCATGTTTCCCCAGCGCCCAGCCACGTTTCTTCTCGGTCCCAAACACTTGCCACCTGGCCAGCCACCCATCTGGTCAGCTGGAGCTGCTGCCTGCCAGCCTGCCTGTCGATATCTATCAGGGTGGGGGGGCGGGGATGCACTATATATGTATATATCCATATGTATATATATATATATATATGTGTGTGTGTATATATATGTGTATATATATATATATATATCTTGTGGCACTCTCCTCAACAATATTCCCACAGATTGGACGCGCCACAGCGGCCAAGTGACACTACGCTTTGTGGTTGTTCTCCTTTCTCGCCAGCTGTCCGTACTGATTCCGTCGCATCCTCAGGCCCACATCACATCAAGGGCTTGAAGCCTTACTCAGACTTTACTCCATGTCGGGGGTAAGGGCCGTGCATCCAGTTGACTTGGAAGTGACCGTCCCCTCCAGGCCGCTGCCAAGTCCTAGCGTAAGCCGCGTAAGCCGCGTAAGCCGCGTAAGCCGCGTAAGCCCCAAAACACAGCATGCTTGACAGCTTGCGCAACAAATCGAATCACACTCTCTCCCCTCACCTCTTCGTCCGAAATCTGCGTTACCTCTACAGAAATCAAGGGCCACTGACTCCATTTTGAGGGTGGAATTGCCTGGCAAGTCAATTGGATCAAGGCGCAATCCACAAAACTTGGCTGATAAGTTCGCGGCCATCTGGTTGAACTCGCTCGCAATCCAACACCACCTTCGAGATTCTGCTTGCCGCCAATCAACGCATATGTTAATGGTACATGATCTGTGCTCGGTTCGCATGAGTGCCGAACAAACTGGGTAACCGAGGCCCACGCTTGCAATACTTCCTTATTCATCAGGAATTTCCGGCATTGCACCCGCAAGAAGCATGTCCCAATTGCCAAGCAACCACTGGTCCCACGGACTCAAGAATAGCTCGGTGCCTGTCAGGCCCCCCCCCCACCAAGAATATCTGGTCAAACTACGCATTGCTGCCTTCTGCTTGGCAGGATGCGCACCACAGCGTATTGCGGGGAGCAGCCATATTCGAGGATACACAGTAACCTCCAATCGGGCAAACCGTCCAACCGCTTGACCAACGATTGCTGGTCTTGTCAGGCTTGCATGCCCTGCTTGTGCCTGAAAGCTCTGGAGCTGTATGGCTTCGATGAATTGGACCATCTGAAGTAAACTCTGAAACTGACACCGATGGCAATGTTGTGGCCTCACTTGTCCTTAGACAGGAGTATATGAAGTCCAGACATACAGGACCAGAAAACTAGTGCTTCCAGGATTCGCTCTGGACATGTGGTCATCTGCACCACTCTCGGAACCAGAGCAGTGGTTTCTAGCAGGAGGCAACACATGAGACAGAGCAGTGGTTTCTAGCAAGGGGGACATCTGAGAAGCAACATTGCCACCAGGCAAAAACTAGAGCGCTGATGAGCACTGTATCCGATGCCAATCCCATCCTTGCAGCTGAATGCGGTGACCATCTCTGTGCAGATTTCACCTGCCTCGGCCGCCTCAGGAAGTGTGCTGAGCATCTGGAGAGGGCTGACGAGCATCTGGAAAAAGCCAACATTCAATCCATTTAGACAGGTTGCTGTTCCTTCGTGCCGTGTGAGAGCTGAGAGCTACTCGCGGGTGCCTCAGCAGCTGTGGCTCAGCTCACCAAGGTAACCCCCTGTCAGCAAATGCCTCCGAGAGTCGCCGATATGCTCCACTTCAAACTGAAGAACAGGTCCAAATTCATCATCGCACGCATGTTCGCCTTGCGCCTGCTGAGGGCCCCTCTTTCACTGCTGATATTGGCAGTGACAAGCGCCCGTTCAGATAAGCTAGAACATGGCCCTGCAGCATTCTGAATGTGAATCTACACATCAGTTTCCATGCCTAGGTGGCAAACCCATAAGGCAAAACTTCGCCTCCGCACCACGGCAGTGAGAGCCATGGCAAGCTGCAACCCCCATAAAGCCGGATGTCCCTCCCAGGCTCTGGTGCTGAAACTGGATTTCCCCAGTGGCTGAAGACTAGCAGCTAGCAAAACAGTCGGTGGGACTATGCGTTCCCTGCCACCGCGGGCAATGTTGCCTCACAAGCGAGTATGTATGCTACAGTATGCCCTCTGGGCTGACCAGTGTAAGCAAAAGTTTCTCGTTGTGTAGCACAGACAAAGACTCAGGCAGTGTCCAATAAGAAACAACCAGTTTGCTGCACAGACATATTCAAGCTGGCCTGACTAATTACACAGAGGAGGCCTGCTTGTGTGTTGACACAAGCTTGCCGTTGGCCATTGCGAAGCTCCCTGTGCCCTGCATTGGCAAAACCAGTGTTCTGTGTATGTCTGCGTGCGTGCAGGTGTGGTGCGCGCGCATTCGTGCGTGTGCCGCATGCGTGCATGCGTGCGCGCAGGCACGCGTGCGGGCGGGTACGCCCCTGTGTGCCTGTGCGCCTATGTGCTGCTTGTCTGCGTGCTTGTGCGTGCGCTTGCCTGCGTGCGTACATGCGTTCCTGCACGCTGGCACCTGCCTGCTCACCCGCCGGCGCGCTTGATGTTCCTTCGCACTTGCTTGCGTTCGTGCGAACGGGCGGGCTGCATCAAACACTACAGTGTCATTACAGCACACTAGGCTAAATTACGGCACATTACATTGCAGCACCACATAACACGACGCTACACTTCGCACGTGCTGGGTTCCAACATGGAAAACCGGCGGTGCTCAGTATTGTACATTTGGCATCCAAGATTCCAAAGCAACTCCACAAGCCTTCTGGATCCAAAGGGCTCTTTCACATTGTTTTCCTTTCTAAAATTACGGGGCGTTGGATGTTACAAAGTGGGCACTATAAAATGGAGGGCTTCAGGTAGGGATCTACGTCACGGCGGCCAAATTGAAATCCAAGTGCCATTTTGTAAAGGGCCAGTTAGGTCTCAACTCATACAAAAGCAAACAAATCCATAAGCAGCAGCTCCATGTTGATCCATGTTGTCCGTTTGTGCCAGCATCATCACTCCCAAAATCTGCTGCTGAAGGCGTAGTCTGCCAACTCAAACTGACACGCGCGCCCCAACATACACACACAATCGAAAACTCGTCATTTTGTGGTGTGTGCGTGACGGGGCATTTGCATGTTGTCGTCCAACGGCGGTTGATTCCACATAACCTCTCCTTGCTAAGCCCCCTGGAAAATATCCAATAGTAAGAAATTCAGTTCAAACCAAAATAGGACATAATTACACCAGCAGAGGCCCCAAACAGTTGAGGACTGACGGGCAAGCGCAAACATGCCAACAGCTTGTGGCTTTCTGCGCTTCAGCACGGATGAAGCAAAATGATGTTATCGTGAACCTGGCACGCGTTGCGTTGCTGCACGTGTGTTGCGCTTCAGCACCGTGCCAGAACTGAGATTGGGCAAGCGCGTGCGATAGCGGGCGAGCAGGCGCGCGCAAGAACGCAAGTGTGGCTGCGCAAGCGCGCGGTGACATGGGCAGTTCAGACACACACATGTCTAATTCAGACACACATGTGTGTACACTTGGAACTCACATATGTATACGGCTGAAACAGTACACGCCGCACGCGCAGATGTGCACCCGTGAATGCACACATATACGTTCACCTGCGGCACACGCATAAATGTGTTGAGCTGGAAAACAAACATGTGCTTGTTGGAAAGCACACGCGCACACATGTGTACACCTGGGACACACATATGTGTTCACTTGCGACACGCTAATACATTTGTGCACACGTGAACACGGACACCTGGAACACATATGTGTGTATGTTGGGGAAGAACATTTCTGTTCACCTGCAACACACATTTGCGTTCACCTGCTACCCATACATGTGCTTGCTTGGAACAGGCATTTGTGTTCACGTGCAACACTGGCGCAGACCTGGATCGCACGAACATGTGTAACCAGAACAAACTTCTGTGTTGACTTGTAACACACATATGTGCACACATGATCACACGTATGTGCACGTGTGGAGAAACATGTGCAACACAAATGTGCAACACACATGCGTTCACCTGGACAACGAACATGCGGTCACATGGAATCTACATTTTCTGCACGCCTGGGCGACACATAAATCAAGTTCCCGAAACCGGCTGTGAGGCGCTATTCCATGGGGCTCTGCCTTGAGCAACGCTTGTGTTTTATATGCATGTTCCAAGTAGGAAAATAGTGTTCGTGCGCGATCAATCTAGCTTGCAACACGTTGTCGCGCGGGCCTGCTGCTGCTGCTTCTGCTACTACTGCTAGTACTATCAATATCGGGCGCATCTCCTGCATTTACATGTTTCACATTAGCAAAAGCTTTCCGGCGCATTGCGCTTCTTTCTCGCTTAGCTGCGCAGTCTCTTTCACATCGAACAATCTGTTGCTCGATAGAACGCTCTAAAGTGCCTTTATCGTATTGTGGCAACTCTTCGTACCGATGCAGTAAAGCATTTGCCTTCGCAGGGAACCCAATTCTTCCGTACGCTCGGTGCAAGGCATCCCTGCCTTCTCGCCTCAGCCATGGAAACTGCATGCGAGGAGGGCGGACGCAAATTTGGATTGAGCCGTAACTGGGAACCGGTCACAGCTGACCACTGCGCTAGCGAATTGCTAGCGCGGCTAACGCGGCGAAACAACGGGAGACAAATGAAGGGAAAAAGGGAGACAAATGAGCCCGTCCACCAAGAGTGCCGTGCCAGGCATCCAGGCTGGGAGACAACGGGAGACAAATGAAGGGAGACAAAGCGAGACACATCAACCCGTCCACCAAGAGAGCCGTGCCAGGCATCCAGGCTGGGAGACAACGGGAGACAAATGAAGGGAGACAAAGGGAGAGAAATGAACCCGACAAATGAAGGGAGACAAAGGGAGACAAATGAACCCGTCCACCAAGAGAGCCGTGCCCGGCATCGAGGCTGGGAGACAACGAAAGACAAATGAAGGGAGACAGAGACAAATGAACCCGTCCACCAAGAGAGCCGTGCCAGGCATCCAGGCTAGGGCTTGGCAATAGGCGAGTCACTTTAGATGAATTTAGAACCCCTCACAGTAAACTGTTTGGGAAAAAGCTCTCTTAAGAAAATGAAAGAATACAGAAGCGACGTTGCTCGGCGGCGCCATCGTGTCCGCTCCAGAGAAGGTGCGGAGGCCTTGCAGCACAAGGCCCAAGAGCAGGCCCGCTCCCAAGCCTTGCCCGGCTCGTCGTCACGTGCGTCAAGGAAGGCTTCGCGTCGATGCCGTCCGCCGGTCGCACAAGGTCTCTTTCGTTAGGCGTGGGCTTGCTCATCGGAGCGTGGCGGGTCAGTCGATTTCTCCAGCGCATTGTCGTGGTATTGACGCTTCTCACGCCGATGAGGTTGCTTGAGATCGCAAAGGCGACTACCCAATTCAAGTTGAAATGAAAACAGCTGAGCTGAGCCTCCGAAGGAAATTGGGCCGATTGCGGCATGGAAGGGTCTTCAGTCGCCTGTCAACTTTGTTTGCCCCGCTCGACGAAAGCCAAAGGAGCGTGGCCAATAGAGGGGTTCACGCTTGTGAGCTCTCCTGATCCTTCTTCAAAGCCGCCTCTGCGATGAAGATGAGAACTTCACGGATTGCTCCCATGTCGTATCAAACTGCGGGCTCGGCCAACATCAGCGTTGGCGTGCTGGGTCTGGTCCTCGGAGTGGATCGCAAGAGATTTGGACGGGCACATGTTCACTTCACAAATGTCGGCCCGTTGAAACGCGAGGCCTGCATGGCCCAAGAGGCAAAAGCGAAGCAGCCTTACAACATTGCGATCAACGCGGACATTGTTCTTGCAAAAAATAATGTCTTCTCTAGGACGAACGCGCCTCATCTCTGCCAGCCGGGACAGCCCCAAGCATGAGCCCAACATGTAGCTGCGCCTTTGGTCAATCGGACTTCCTCGCCAACAACGGGAAAGCCAAGCCAAATCCTTCAATCTCGGGAGACGCTGCGAGAAAGGGCTGGCTTGATACGCGCTTGTTCCTTGCCAAGTGTCAAACACGAACTTCTTCGCGCACTGTGGGAACAGCGCCCCCTTTCATTGGATTGTGGCACTGGCTCCCCATTCAGATCAACATATTCCCTGTTTTCCCACTCAAAATCTTGCGCGCGCGGCGTGAGAAAGAATCTGATGTTTGCCGGCGATTCGCCCACACCCCGTGGAAACGGAGGCCTATCACAAGACTATGGCCTCCAGAGCCCGAAGCGTGCGGCAGTCATGGTTGACGTGAATATTCTACATGTTTGACTGAACGCTTGCGCTTCATGCGCGCACGACGCGCAGAAGTTGGCTCTGGACGAATTTGTCGTCGCGACTAGCTCTTTTGTTCGGTCTCCGGTTCAGTGGAGGAGTGATCCCATGCCTGTAGTTGCAGTTGCCCAGGGCACGTTGGCCTGACTGAAACAGAGTTCAGCACCAAAGGCACTTCATGCAACAACTGGCGCGACCTGATGCGGACCATAACATTCGCCATTGCCATCTTGTTCGCGGAAATCTCTTGCCAAAGCAATCAAGGAGTCATATGATGTTGTGGACGCCTTCTTCTGCTCATTCAGAATCATTCACATCATGCGCAGGTAGCCGAAAGAGCTGGGTCTGAGTCTGGAACAAAGACTCCAGCATATTGACATTGGGCTAATCATACCTGCAACGACGCCATCCCATTCATTAAGACATGCTCTGAGATCGTCATTCGTCAGCAAATTTTCAAAGTCAAGGACCGCGCCACCCTTGACAGTAGCAGCTGTTGATCATCCAGAGGATCTCTCAACCTCGTGTCACCGCAACCTTCTCCTTTTCGATGCCCACTTGCTGCGCCATCTCCCTCCAGGCTCCTTTTGGCCCAAGCCTCTTCAAGGCCTTTAGCACCAGCAAATGCGAAAGGGCTTCCGTCAATGAATCCTCAAGTGCTAAGTAGGCGCGCCTTTTTCTTGAGCCTTAAGCCATGTGCAAAGCACGAATAACGCAACAACACATACAATCAGAGCGGAAGTCACAACTGCCATACTTGTTCCCCTCAGTCAATCACAAGCATCTCCTGGCATTGCCCGTCGTGTGACATTTCATGCCGGCGCCGCTTCAGAAGCCCTTCACCTGGGCGGTCAGGCAAAAGCTTCACGAGCACCCTCCTACAGTGACTCCTGCTGCTTGGTCACGCAACACCTGGGAGCAACAAGTGATGCAAGGCAGTGACGCAGTGCATCTGAGCAGAAGTTGGGAGCATTGCTGGCTGCAGCACCTCCCTTCTGGGCACCTGCAACCGGGGATATCCATGAGCATCATGAGTCGGCACGTGCCTTCAAACCGGGTAGAGCCCAGCGAGGAAGAGGAGCTGGCGGCAACTTGCGACCTCTCTGCAGCTGCGCTCGCACAAAACGGTTTAAGGGAGGAGAATTCGCTGCCCCAGTTCGGCCGAGCGGCTCAAACTTGCCTTGGGCAAATAACGTGGGAACACCAAAAAGGCAGATGCTGGTGTGCAAGGTCAGCAAGCACTTTGCACGACAAGTTGCTTTCCACAGCGCATGGCTTTGGCGCTCGCCCTCAGGTCCCGGTGGAAAGGCCTTCTGCAGGGCTGCTGGCTCAAGGTTGCCACGGTGCAATGCCTGAAGTCTACCATTCAAGGCGCTCCAAACAAAGGGAAGCCCGAAGTGAGAGAACGTCGAAAGAGACAAAGCTAGCACTTCGCCGGGGGGCGGTGGCCAAGCGCCGAATGGAGGGGTTGACACACTTTCCTCACAGGCTCACACTTCTGGCAAGCAACTGGACGAACCCTACGAACCGTAGGGCCTGGGTTTTGAATTGCCACCTGTGCACCAGAGCAGTGGAAGCCGGCCCTTCGCCACCACTCTGCTTCTTGGTAGGGGCCTGGCGAAAGGTTGTCTCCGAGCCACATGGTGTGCCTGTCACTTTGGGGCTCCTGCGCCAAAAGCACTTCGTGAGGTTCTTTGAACGCACTACCTCGGCTCCAGTGAAACAGCATAGCCCGTGACCTCTGCATTGAGTGCATTGAGTGCATTGAGGCTGGTGCCATACCAAACACTCGGGGGATATCCAGCCAAGGAGCGTGGGTCCTTCGAAGGCCAGCTTTGCCAAGACGGAAAGGCAAGTCAAGTGGCACCAAGGTCACTAAGGTCACTCTAAGTGGACTCTAAGTGGTTTCTAAGTGGTTTCAAACTGTCCTGTCCACTTTGTCTGGGGACAAAGCTTTATCCAGCAGCCTACGCTGCCGCGTGAGGCGCTTTAGCCTTGGCTTCAAAACATGCCAAGGGAACCAAATCCGCTTTCTGAACAGGCACACTAGCAGGCAAAGGCTTCAGTTCAGACCCAGCGAAGGGATTTGACTCAGCTTGAATCCAGTTGGTTGCGAATGCTTTGAGTCGAGAAGCTTTGCAATGTGTGCTTTGTCCACACCGCAGCCCTGGCAAAATTTCTGTGTACTGGCGCAAGCGTTCTCCAGCGCCTCATCGGCGAAGGTGAAGGCGAGGTTACCTTCACAGAACTCGACAATACCGAAAGCAGGATAGTCAGCGGTGAGCCATCCCCAACGAGGAAACAAGGTGCTGGTGAGTGCCCTTGTAGATGTCTCTTCCAAACTGCTGAGGATGGCATCCTTACATGGTTGCACTTGCACGTTTAAGCAGAGGCAAGGAATGCAGCGACAACGTCTCCAAGCGGCTAATTTAAGGTGGGTACGAAAACATTCCAACGGAAGTACAGCTCGCCGAAGTCACAGGCCCAAATGAAACCGCCTGAGCGTTCTGCTAAGCTTCAATCCACGAGAGGATCCCTAAACATGCACAAGCCCAAACCAATCTTACCAAGCAGCTTTGAAGGACACGGGCCAGCTGCAAACCAAGCCTCAAGCATAGTGCTAGCATCCTTTTTCGCAAACTCTTCGCATTGCATGAACAATTCCATGCTGGGGGCTCAACGAACGGGAATTGGCCAAAGCATTGTTGCAGCCTGCTGCAAGAACTCGGTGCCACATGTGGAAGTGCACACGGCCACAGCAGTAGAAACTTAGGACCATGCCAAAGCTAATGAAATGTACATCCATGCTTCCTTCCAGCGCATTGAACCTCGGACATCAAGCCAGGTCTTGACTGCGGTCGACGTTGTTGGCCAGTCACAGGGCATGAAGATCAGGACCTTTGCACTGTGGCCTAGGCCGGCTGGATGAATGGGTGGCTTCAACGTCCCTCACAAACTACGTGCCAAAGACAAATGTGTATCTGCGTGTGTGCGTGTGAACATGTATTTCTATACGCAAATGCAAATAAAAGTGCGTGTGTGTATGTGCGCACTGTACAACTGAATTGTGGTAGAAGGCATGCATCTGCATGGAAAACTCTTTTGGGGCAAATGCAATGCCATGGGTGTAGCGCATGCCTACGCCAGCAAATGCACGGTGCTTGAACACCATGGCCGCCTATGCCGCTGCAGTTGTGGATTCAGTACCCAAGCAATGCGCGTTTGTGCTTAGTTCGCAACTTTCCTTGACTGGCGTGTCTTGTCATTGGTCACCTCTATCTCTCATGGACACTCCCGAACGAAGAGAGGAGGAGTGAGAGAGAGAAAGGGTTCCACCGCCTGACAGCTATTTCCCTTCCCAGCCGTCTCACAGAGAAATCCCAAGAACGAAGATAAAAAAGAAAATATGAAAAAGATATGACAAGGAAAAGCATCTACTTCTATAAAATGCTTTTCTGTTATTCTTCATTCATAACCTCATCCAAAATAATGGAATAGCTTTTGGATGGGTTTCTATATCCTGTTTACGCGTTTGTGCTTAGTGCGCAACCTTGAATGGCTTGCAGCTGTCGGCAGTGCCTTTCAATAAACTGCGTGAGCTGAAGCAACTGCTTCTTACAAAGCTTCATTCTGGCAAGTCCACCAATTCAGCCTAGTCCTTTCTGCTAGCGAGAGCTCAGCTCCTTTGACCGTGTCTGCGCGGCAGGAGCCACAAAAGTGGGCCTATTTGGCGCTGAGGCCATGCAAAAACAGGATGTGGTAGGTGGTCCAGTTGACGGCGAAGCTCTCATAGTTGTCTTTTGGCGCTTCTCAGCCCAATCTCAGGTCACAGCCATCTTCGGCCATCATACGTGCTGTCAATGAAGCCTTACCCACTTACAAAAGTGAAGTGCTGCTTGGAGTTACTTCCGGGTTCCTGTCTTTTGAACCAAATGCTGAAGCTCCGGCACGGAATTTTCGGCACAAAAGCGTTTGATTCAGGCTCACTATGTTCAATCTTCAATATTCACTTAAAATCGTGTCGTATAGAACGCTTGTTTGGTGTTAAGCTTCGAGAATCAACAATAAGTTGACAAGTAGTGTTACTTATTGCGCCGGGGAGGACTAAAATATGAAGGAGAAAAAAACTGCGCAAGACGATGCAGTTCGAGTCCTCCCCAATGTGCGCTAAAAATGTCTTTTCTTTGGCGGCTACCATGCATGTCAGCTTTGTGTGCATATGCGCATGTTCTTGAACGCCCTCTCGTGAGGCCGATGGAAGCACGTATCCGGCCAAGCTACAGTGAGGTTCGAAGCGATAGCACAGGCCCCAAGTCCTCAACACAAGCGGCAGGGCTCCATCACAGTGGAATCTCCACAGTGCATCTTGGCTACTTTCTTGTTGAGCCGTGCCTGAGCTGGCACAAGTCGTCAAGCTCTCCAGGCAACTTGCTGAGATGAAGCCAGGCTGCAATTAAAGCGCGTGCAGCAGCGGATGGGTCACCACCAAAGCCAGGTGTCGGCCTGGCGGGACTGCACTTGGTGCAGTCACGAATCCCTACTCGGGCTTTGCACTCAGCTGCGTTCGTGTGAAGGCCTCAATTGAAAATCCTTCTTTGGCCACTTCCTGGCATACTGCAAAAAGTTGCGGGCCGGCATGTGCAATGCACAAGGTTGCTGCATAGCAGCCTTGCTGCCCGCCGCTTGCTCCTCAGCCGGCCTGCCCAACATCGAACATTCAACCCCGGCAAAGCAAGACCAGCACATTTCGGAAGTCAGTCTCTTGCGTTCAGAACATAAACAGCAACATGCAAGCAATTGACCATTTCAGGATGTTGCAAGCCTAGCAAAAGTCGGCTGTGCTACACTGCGCGTTCTCTGGGCAGCCACGCGGTCATCAGAGGCATCTGTGGCTGCAGGAGCCTGCCTAGCATGCATCCATGATTCAAGTCTTGAAATGCACGAAATGATTCTCACACTGCAGACTGGCAGCATCACACAGGCAACGGGTGTTGCCATAAAACTTTCACATTCGAGCCATGTCGCCAGTCATTTGTCAAGAATAGGCACAAGCAGCCTCAGCACTGCAACAACTCGCAACATTCCGCCCTGCTTGACCCCGTCAGACTTCTGATCTTTCTGACCGTCCGCCCATGCATGCCATAATGCTTGACATTGTGGCAATCATTCAGCACACCAATTCACTTGCCTATCTGGTTTCCAGACTGCATCCGGTGTAAAAAAAAGATACTTTGATGCACAGGGAGGCGTGCAGCTATCCGAAGCTACCAGCATGCACTAAGAGTCTAAGAGGCAGATGAATTGCTCGAGTTCGCGAGCTCACTTCCCTTCGAGCCGCTCTCCTGCAAGCTGCTTGTGCCACCTGGCAGTGGCATTTTCGGGTGCTTGGTGCATTGGCATGTGAACAGCGCATCAGCTGTTGCCTGGCTCCTGATTCTCATCAGATTCCTCTTCACTGTCTTCTGCTTCCTCGTCCTCTTCCTCTTCCTCTTCCTCTTCATCTTCATCTGAACCTGCCTCCCCGCTTCCCTTAGGAAGGCAACATCAGATGGTCAGACCTTGCCACATGCCAAACAGTTGAGGCCTGCGCATCGGCATTTGAAGCGTTTCGGCGTGCACCTTGAGTCAACTGGGCGCCATCTGCCACTGTTGATATAGAAACCTTGCGCTTGCCAAAGCACCAGAATTGTTTTTCTTCCTCTCCATCTCCTCCGTGACGATGCCTTGGCCAAATGTGAGGCACATGCTCTCCAAAAGGCCTGACAGTAAAGATAAGCGTCCAATGAATCGAAGGCCTAGAACTGCAACTTCTTCTGGCCCATCATCATTCTTCCAAGCACGTAACCTCAGAACATGCCCTCATGCACCCTTTGCCGGTGCCATTTGGCAACAGCCTGACGAGTGCCACGGCGCATGCGATCTGTTGGTGGCCTTCTTTGACACTTGCTAGCCAAATTCACGGGAGCCATCCTCCAACTTTTTAACACGGCAATCTCACATCAGTTCAATTGGATGTGCACGTGCAGTGATGCAACATTCGGCATTGATAGGCCTTGATTGACCAGCCGTTTGCTTTAGCCTGTGCAGCGCTTGAGCCACAACCTGCCACAATTCTAGTTACTCCAGTCGGCTCTTCGCAAGCAATTCCATCAGCCTCCTGCACGTTCCCTCGCAATAATTACTCCACAGCAGGCTCGGCCTGTTAAGTCGCCATAATTGAATGAAATCCCTTGATGCCGCAAAAAGAGGTATGCAAACATGAGTCACACCTGTTTAAAGCAAAAAGAAGCCACAAGCGCGTGCACAACCCCAACGCAAGTATGACGTGCCGCGCTGTTGGTACAGTGTACGATGCTGGCCCTGCTGGCCCATGACAGGCGGGCTACGTCAAAAAGCCCCTTGAGAACGCCGCCGGACACGAGAACCTGAATCCTCAGTGCAGCTCCAAGGCACAGAGGAAGGTCGACGGCTTCTGGATTTTTGGGCGAATTGCTGTCACGCCTATCTTGCAGGTGAGCCTTCGTGATGGCCAGCTCAAAATTTGCCACAGCTGTGGGGAAAAAGTCATCTTTCGCCATCAAGCGGCCATGAATGGTAAAGGGGACTTTAGGGATCTTCATCTTCACATTCTTCATGTCAAAGTTGATTTTGCATAGAGCTTGGTCACCGCGGTTTCTCTTTCCGTCAGGGTCTGCGCCTGACTTCTCCTGGTCTTTCAATTCCCTCTTGTTCTCGCTGTCAGCCAGGACGGTCCCAGGCAAATTGTTGTAGCTGGATCTTGCATACAGGAACTTATCTCGGCGTGGGTAATCCGAGAAAAACTCCAAGTAAACATGTCGGTTGTTGCAGCGCAAATGCTGATTAATCTTCAGTGTGCCCACGCTGATGATAACAGAAATGCCAGCACCCTGAACGTCGTAGCGGTTGGAGGTGACCTGATCTGTCAAGAGGCGAAGTCATCGCATTAGTAACGCGCTCACCGCCTGAGCTTGGGACCATCTTGTGAAAGCTGGGGCCCTCATCTTCATCCTCATCCTCATCCCGGTTCAGAACTTCGAACCTCATCCAGCCCGCTTTTGCAAGTGCTGCCGTCTAACATGCATGCCGCCCACATGCACTATTCTACTAGTTGCAGGCAAGATTCGTGCCAGACAGGTTAAGATGCGCATTGCGTGTTCGTAACACACGCAACGTCAAGGCGAATTGCAGGCGATGGCGCTCACGGTCAAACGCGAATGCCAGTATAGTTTCGCCATCTTCAAAGTCGAAAGTGAGCTCCACGACCCACGGCAAGTTTACAATCTCATCATCCGATTCTTTGAACATCTCCACGCGACACAACGCTTCCAAAGGATACAACTCTCCGCCGAGCTCCAGGTTCAGCAAATCTCGATCAAGGAACGTCTTTTCCTCAAATCCGTTGACCCTCATAACCATGCCCTGCAGGGATTCACCAAAGCCAAAAGTTAATGAAAAGTCAAGCAAAACGCACAAACACAAAGATCACGTGAAGTAACGAAGAACCTCTGCTGCTCTGCCTTCACCAGCATCGCCACCCATTGGTTGACCACCCGCTCCACCAGTCGTTGCTGTGAGGGTTCCAATCTGGTCTGGTACTGGCGGTACTCGAATGCACTGAGTTGCCTCAAGTTCTGGACCTACGTCTGACAGTGTTTGCAGGAGGCACACAGTCTGTGATAGCTCTCACCCAAAACAAAACAAAAAAGTGAAGGCTGAAGGGCTAAATATTGAACCTTCCGGGTCACATATCAGATGCATCTTTCTCGGAGTTATCCGCCTTCTCCAACGTGCAGAGCCCAAACAAACGCATGAACACATCCATCGCCTCTCCACCTGCAAGGGAACGTTGCAAATGCATCGCCAAGAAGGAAGGATGTGACATCTGCCTCGGCAGCCCAATCAGGTCATGCCAGGCTGAGCATCTTTTCTGAAGCTGCGGGAGCTTGCAGCATCCCTGCCAATATGGCCTGCAGCCTCTCAGCCGAAATGCTGCAAACATGGCAACATCGGCCAATGACCTACCCTTCCTGCAAGCGGCAAAACCAGTTAAGCATTGCTTGAAAGGTAGGGCCAGCGTTGGCCCAACTTGTGACTCTTGTGGCCATGATTCGCAGGATTTTGATACAGGGCGGCATGTCATAAGTCGCTGGCTTGGCATATGGCATAGCTTTTTGGCTTCCAAGCCGCTTCGGTGCAATCCGGAGAGCATAATCAATGGTGGCACTTGCTCAGCGGAACTGGGGCTAACCCAAGAAAAACATGATTACTGCCATTCAAGTGAGCAACTGCTGCACAGTCAAGTGCAACCAAATGAGCTGCACGGCAGCCATCAGAAACTAGTGGCAAGAGTTGGGCGGCAAACATATTTCAGTGCCTGCTCTAAGCCAATGTTGCTGGACGATCAGTTCTGACACAGCCCCAACCGGGTCGCCATCGGTTCGCTAGATGGGACTGAACAAAGAACAGAATGACCATCACCTTGCAACCCATTCAAAATGCGAATGCCAAAGACTGTCACCTAGCTATCTGAAAACAAACAGTCAGCTGCGTGCAACTATGCATGCGGTTACGGTACTTTGCACGTGAACGTCCAAGCATGGCGAGTAGGGCCGGGGTTCTGGACCGCTGCGCCCGAAGTTTTAAAACACATATTGCTTGGTCAGCGGGACAAACCGGTGAAACTTTAACCGTGGCCAGGCAAACTTTGCAAGATGCGCCAGGACAAACCAAATCACGGATCAATTGATCTCAAAAACAGATGAAGAGAGAGCGAGACAGAGGAAAAAGAAAGAAGGAAGAAAGAAAGAGAAACAAAAAACAGAGAGACAGAGAGAGACATAGAGAGAAAGAACTGAAAGAGAGAGAGCGAGAGAGAGAGAGTTTGTCCGCTAGATTGGTGTGCCACCTGCTCAGCCGTCAAGATTCATGAAGGGTTGGGGCCTGGATTGTGAACCAAGCCTGAGATGCAGAAAAGCTCTTGCAATCTGTCAGGTGCACGTCTGCCTGCCAATCTAATAATTTGCGTGCCAAGCTTCCAGGCGTCAATGCTGGAGATCCCATCATGACCTCAGCTGCCAACAGCCACCATGCTGGCAATTGCGCCATGGGCCAGCCTCCTCCTTGCTTTTACTTTTCTTTCCTTTGCTTTGCCGTACCTGTGCCATAATTGCCAAAGACATGTTTGGCCCAACACGCCCGCCAGCCTGGCTTTGACCCGCAGCTTCAGGTTCTTAGCGGCGATCCGGCTGCGTGACATCAAGCGAACACTGGATCTTCAACACAGCAATGCCCCTTCAGGCATGAATTGCAAAGAGACAGCGCGCATCAAGTAACGTCAACAAGCCATGCAATGAAAAGCGAGTTTTTGGAGCAAGTCGCTGGTCAAAGTAGTGCCTGGAATGCTGCCTTTGTCCTTTTCCTCAAAACACGAAATAAGTTCTACACTTCTGGTAGGATGTGACACCGCTACACTGTTTGATCTTGCGTGACTCAGACAACACTCGCTGAGCGCCTTCTTTGACGAAATTCCTGCACCGCACTTGTGCTCTGGGTGCGCAAACTTGCCTTGGTTACCACCATATTGCATGTCTGCCCGCTGACTGCCATAAGATGTTATGAGATGTTCTTTCGCAGTTGGGCCGCACTCGGTGCCCATTCGACACCATCCCTTGGACTTCCAGTGTCGGCACACCACCGCGGACTTTGCCTGCATGCGGTGCTCGGCCCCTTTTTCACTACTATTCGAAATACGATGCCATTCTCAACTAATATCTCTCTCCCTGGCAATGGGGTCCATCCCGCCCGCCCTCTGGCGTGCCAGGTTGAGGGTGGCTCTATCTATTTGTTTCTCTGTCTTTCTTGCTCTGTGGGGCAGTGCGCCCAAGAAACTGGCATGGTCAAGCAGCCCCGCGCGATCTCCCACCGATATGTGGCAAGCTTTGAGTCACGCGGCGCAATGGAGAAACCAAGCGCTCACTGTTTGAGGGTTCTGCTGATCCGTTTCACCATAGATTCTGCCAACGCAATATGTTGCCATGCGTCACAACATGTCGGGTTTGCAAGCATTAGTGCTCAGTCAGCAGCACGCATGGGGAAATAACATGTCAAGCCAACAACCCTGCCCTTTGACACGGCTCTTGGTCGGCACGCGAACATCGACACGTCAGGGAGAAGCTGAGAAGACTGAGGTCGACAAAATGAGAGCGCCAAAGCTGCCCATAGCTAAGCTCACAGAACCTTGGGTTATGCTTGGATGGCTGGCCTGACCAGCGCTTTCCGGGCTTTGGCCTTGGCCTTGGCAAGTTTATGTCAACGGCATCAGGCACGCCCAGTGCTTCCAAGGGACCACCGTCCATGGGCTTGCCTTGTCCTCAAGACCCGACTCTACACCCGAGCGCTTCTTGGGGCTTTCTTACATGCTCTGTGCCTTCATGTCATGTCATGTCCTTTCATGTTCTGGCCAAGGCTGCCAAGGCTCCCTGATTTCCACCAGGCAGTATTCGAGGCGCAACTGGAGAAACCGTGGGCGTGAGAGATGGCCGCTCGCCACCTGTCTGCCCTGCAGTGCATGTGCAAGGCTTATTGCCCATCAGGGCAACACAGCCTACTGCAATGTTGCAATATGTTGCAATATGTTGCAATATGTTGCAATGTCGGACCTTGGGAAGACCACTGAAGGTAGAGCGGATCCCCTTCAGGAGCTGTCGCCGCTTGCGCTTGGGCATGGCTCATCATGGGAATTCCCGCGAAACCTGACACCAAAAGCCGGCCAGGGCCGTAACAAACGGGGGATGGGATGTTCCATGCGTGTATCTCGCTCTCCCTTTCTCCATGCGCCTGGGGGTTTGGGATCTGAGGATGCGTTTGATCTACCAGATCGCGAGGAAGACCTGCCGCACCAAGAAGCCGTCTCCGACACTGCCAACGTGAAACCCGCCTGGAGCCTGATGGTGGCACCTTGCCTCCGAACAAAGCCTGGAAGCGTCCTCACAAAATTGCTGGGGAAGCCCCTCCCGCACTTATTCGGATTGCCTTCAGGCATGTCGTGGAGAAAAAAAAGGAGCGTCAGCACTCCAGGCAACTAAAGTCCCTCTTCACATCTCGGATAATCTCTGCTCAGCTTGGCAGCGTGAAACAGCCAGTGGCATGGAGTGTCTCAGCCCCACTCCTCGCTGCTCGCCATCAGCTTCCGCTTCATCCTATAGAAGGTTACGCTGGACAAACTACAGCAACAGAAATCCACAGACCCAGCCTCGGAAGATTCCTCTGGCAAAGGGACAGACGTCACGTTCGCCAACTTCATAGAATCAGCTTCACCTCATCAATGGCGTCCCAGAGCACACAGGTGCAATGCGTTTACCGTGGCCGGTGGAAGTGAATGGCCCGGCCAACTGGATTATCTTTGCTCAGTCTCTTCAATAGAACAGTGCCCAGGCACCTCTCCCTTTTGGGCTTGCATGTGCCTTTGCAATTTGGTGCCCTTATGAGTTGTCATTTCAGGCGGCACACCTTGCTTCACAAGTTGCCCACAACGCGTGCTGAGCATATCGAATTCTGCGTCGGCCCAAGCATGCTGAGAGTGAGATGATGAAGAGTTCACTCTTGCTTCAGCTATCGACAAACGGACACTATTTTACGTGGCTTTGTCAGAACATGCATCCAGTGCCGCAAGCGCTACATGGGTCCGAAAAGCACTGCGAACCATAAGCCCCTAACCTCACTTAGCACGGCCAGACCATGGCCTACATTCTGGTTGGCTTGGGCGTCGAACATTGCTCCTGAGTTGCACGTGCGCTGATTGTCACATATTCGGCAGCACGCACCTTGCATCACATACCTCAATCGCCTTTCGTTCATCAATCATACATCCGCAACTCCAGTCAGTGCCTTCAAGGATCCGAAATTCACCCCATCGGGGTTTCCGAAGCAATGCTGTGGCTGGTGCTGCTGCTCCCTACTCAGCCGTCGGGGCGGCCAATTCATGACTGGAACCTGACAGTCCTGCAACACAGCAGGTGCAGTTTTGAAGGGGAGCACGGATCAACGGGCTACATTCGCAGAAAGCCAGGGCCGGCTCTCTTCTGCTCGTCCTGCTGTCGGTGCTGCTTCACCTGTCGCTCCACCTCCTGCTCCACAAGCTGTTCTACCTAGCAGGCGGAGGCGCACTTCACAACGCAAAGCACCAGCATGTTGCAGTCAAGCTTCTGCGTTCCTGCCAGGTGCTGCGCCATACATGATGTCCAATGCTGGAAAAACAAAGCCAGGCGCTGCCAAGTGGCAGCATCCCTTGCACAAATGGAGCACACACCTGCCAGAACCCAGGGTAGCATGTATGTGCACAAGATAGAGATCGCCTGCGACAGAAGCGCTCGGAGCGACTCGGAGTGGTCATGGTTGATGGCCGGATTCAAGGTCTTGCCATTGAGCCTAGGCAGAATTGTAACCATTCCTGTGCTCTTCCGAGCGGGCACATCTTTCAGCCAAGCAGCATAGAACCGAAATGAGGGGCCTGCCATGCCTTTGGGTCTGGCATGCGAACCTGAGTTCATTGGACCCACTGAAAACTCCCACTTTGCACGCCGCATGCCACATGCCACGCTGGGCGCTCGGGCCGTCAATGATGGAGAGGGAGTGGGGTGCGCCCAGTCCTGGGCGCGCGCTCAGCCAAGTCACACTTCACAGCTTAGCCGCTTAAAGGCTTAGCCCCCTTCTGGAACGGAAGGCATTGCCGAAGAACCCGTTGGAGATGACATCGCACCAAGCTAAATGCCTGGCGAATGCACAGTCGCATCGCTGTTGCTTCAATTGGCAGGCGTGCCTGCGCACAGGCACCTATTTGGTACACTACCTTCTGAACAAAAAGGGTAGCAAGACAATACAATCACGAGCCGCCCGGCTGCAAGCCCAGTGTGAAAGCCGACCCTTTTTGTCTTGGAGCCCTCAGTCATGGAAGTGATTCCCTGCCACTTCGAAGGGCTGGTGTACCAGATCATCACGAATTCCAAACCATTCCGACCTGGAGGTTGGAGCATCCAGCTCCGATAAAACAAATGCGGTGCGTCGGGAATTGAAGAATATCTCCACCGGACTTGGCGACATCTCGGGCAATTGCAGCAGGGCGTAGCGATCTTGTGAGGTCTGGCTGATTGTCCACTCGCCACTGCCCCATGGCGAGCTGAGCAGCCTTCCATCCGGTAGAAAACGGAACAGACCCACGCTGCAAAGTTGGGACAGGGGCTGCCTGTAGATGTAAAATCGCTGGTTTAGAAAGGTCTTGTCCATACCCAGGGCTGCCTCACCACGCTTGCAAACGCGGCCTTCGGATTTATTCGTCCAACTCCAGAAGGTCTTGCCTGTCCTCTCGTCCCAGTCCAGAAACTTCCAAGCAGAGCCATCCCATCCTTGACCAAGACCCTGGCATTCCACGAGAACCCCAACATCCTCCAATTCACTCACGGTCTCTTGAACTCCCTTTTCATGGCCGAAGTCGTCGAAGACCAAGAACTTCAAGCTGGGGAAGTACCGCAGAGCGTTGTGCGCATCTGCACGGACGTACTCGTACTTGTGGTTTGCATCAATGACAACAACATCCACACTATTACTTGTGAAAGCTTGCCAATCGTCCACCATCAAATTAAGACGCAAGAACACTACATTTGTCAAGCCGTTGGTGTGTGCGGCAGCTGCATCTAAGTATGTCTTTTCGACATCTACTGATATGACGCGCCTAAACATGGCCGCGAGGACTGCTGTTGTGTGGCCATGGTATATGCCCAACTCCAGCACAGTCAGATTTCCGCTGATCGCACAAAAATACTGAGCCAAGTGCCGTTTGAAGACGTGAGAAGTAGTCACAAACATCTCAGCCTTGTCAGGCGCTCGTTTAATCTCAGATTCTGCGTCCATCAAGCAAGCGCTGCCCTCGCGAGCCCATGTGTAAGGAAGCGCGCAAAGCTGCAGCAAGAGCAAAAGATGGAACATGTAGCACATGCGGCGCATGCACGCTCTGCAAACTCTGCACGCCCTCTACGCCCTGGATGCCCAGCGCAGCTGCGACACCCAGCATCAGAGGACACAGCCACAGACTGCTTGCATGGCTTCGGACCAAGGGATGGCACACACACACACACAGGCACATATGACAGTCTGGTTTGGGTTTGATCGTTGCTATTGTGGGAGGTGTGAAGGGTAGGCAGCAGGCCATGCCCCGGACAGTCAGAAACAACAGCTAATCTCTAAGACTCTAAGGCCTAGATATCATCACATGAGCATTACTTCACTGTGACTGTCAAATGAAGGCAGGGATATTGACCAGGGCAGTGCTTTCATGCAATTCCTGGACCAGGCGGCTACAAGGCTTGACCTGCGAAGCTGCACTCGGCGGTTGCATTTAAGCGAGGTCACCAAGCCTGCCTGTGGCTCAACGCAAGAACCTCCAGTCTTTTTGTTCAGCGATGCTGCAAACTTTCAAGTTTGCTCGTAAGCAAACAGTGCAAAGTCGTGAATGATGCCTCTCACCGTTGGAAGCCTCAATCTGCACAGGTACGGCGGTACTTAGTAACAGAAATGCCGCCAGCCGGGTCTAAGCGTGTGGCAGATCCTGCCCTTCTGGTGCCCCCTGAGCCGGGTCACATAGCAAGGCGATTCGGGCAGAAGTGGGAAGAGCTCACATCACTTCTTGCTGAGGCGCGCGTCGTCCTGTGGGCGACACGGCGGCGACTAAGAACAGAACCTTGGCTGCGCAGTGGCGTGCCAGTCCAACCCGCCCTTCGCTTTACTGAAACCCTTTGCAGCCCACGCCATCACAGCTGGCAGCAAGCTTGTCAGTTACATTGACAGATTCGCGTGCGCAGTGTAACTGTCTCTACCTGCCCGCTGCTTCGTTTTGGGAACTGCTGCTCTGCCCATGCGCCAGGGTGGCCAAACCACGCCAATGCCCATACCTGAGGCCCTCACTGTAGGAATGAAAGCAAGCATCAACGGATTGACATACATTGTAATGCAGCGGTAGACGAGGTAAGAAACCTACAAAACTCAGCGCCCGCACAGCGCCTGCGTCTCTGCAGAGCTGCTTGGGCCAGCACGAAAAACATGATGGCCGGCTTCAATTTTGTCATCATGCACATGCAGCACCTTAGTCGCAAGCGCAGCTCCCTGCTTGAATACATCGGATTTAAAATCCAAAAGTCTGCACAAGCCAGCTCTGCTCACAAATCGTGGCATGAAGCACGGAAGGACAAATGGGCCTTGAAAACCTATGTGACCACTACAGTCAGAACATGGCACTTGTCTGCCAAGCGAGTGAAATGCAAAAATGAAAATATGACAATGACGACCAAAGGAGAGTAGGGGGGTTTGGGTTGCGTAACGCCTAGAAGCCTAGAAGCCTAATACTGGCATCACGCCTAGAAGCCTAGAAGCCTAGAAGCCTAGAAGCCTAATACCCGCGTCACGCCTAGAAGCCTAGAAGCCTAATACCAGCGTCACGCCTAGAAGCCGAGAAGCCTAGAAGCCTAGAAGCCTAAATAGAAGCCTAGAAGCCTAGAAGCCTAGAAGCCTAGAAGCCTAGAAGCCTAGAAGCCTAGAAGCCTAGAAGCCTAGAAGCCTAGAAGCCTAGAAGCCTAGAAGCCTAAGACTGGCGCCCATGCCGAAGCTGCCAAAATCTACGCCGCGAAGAAGCCTAGAAGCCTACGCTTGATTGCGCTTCTACGTTTTGTTGCATTTCTGCGCCTCTGCGCTTCTCTGCGCTTCCACGCTCACGCTTTATTGCGCCTCTCTCTGCGCTTTCTTACGGTTCTACGCTTCTGCGATTTACTGCGCTTCCACGCTCTATTGCGCTTCTGCGCTTCATTGCGCTTCTACGCTTCTACGCTCTATTGCGCTTTATTGCGCTTCTGCGCTTTATTGCGTTTCTGCGCTTTATTGCGCTTCTGCGCTACTACGCTTTATTGCGCTTCTACGCTTAATTGCGCTTCTTCTGCGCTTCTACGCTTCTACGCTTAATTGCGCTTCATTGCGCTTCTGCGCTTCTGCGCTTTGCTGCGCTCGTGCGCGTTGCTACGTTTCTGCGCTTTGCTGTGTATAGGTTAGGCAAAACAGCCTGAAAGGGCTAACATTAAACCCTGCGGTAAGCGCGCTTTTCTTGAGCCATGCGCAGCGAGTATGACAAAGCCGCGTCTGCATTTAGGGTTATCGAGGTTGGGTTGATAAGTCATCATTTAGGAAAATACCCCCCCCCCCCGCCGTGTCCGACGGTGAAATGGGAGGACGAGTATCAAATAAACCCAAGAGGCATGAGGCTGACAAGAATAGGCACTTCATGATCAAGCGGAGTAAATTGAAACGGGCACATTTATCAGGGGAATGCGAGGACAGGAATCGTCGCGCAGCCACGCCTACCTATCGGTTGCGCCACCTTGGGACAGGCTTGAACGCAAGGCCGGGGGAGCCAGGGCCGATCGCGGTCATGTCGATACGCTATACGCTCCTGGAGACGGGGCGGCACTTGTCACTGAAGCTTGGATTTCAAACAAGGTCATCATTTGATGCGGCGCTAAATTCAAATGGTCCAACCGCATGCACGTTGCACTTATCAGAACAAGATCAGGCAGTATCACGAAGGCATCAATTCTGGGGCGCGGGACTTGCGGCGACATGATGCGTCCGTTCCTGATCAGAAAGCCGTACCGGTTTGGTTGATGAGAACCTTTCCATGCGCAGGTCGAGCTGCGCTTCAAGACCAAGCGCTACGGCCTCTGCCGAAATTGGGCCTGAGCGGTCCATCAGCCTGGGAAGGCCCGTGGTCGACTTGGTGTTTGGCAGGGCCTCCAATAAGAAGAAGGCAACAAATGGGAGGTTCGCCAAAGTCATTCTGCTATGTATGAAATGGTTTCAATACTGTTGGATCTATGATGTCAAAGAAACCTTGCGTCGCGCACGCGTGGTATGCATTTTGGGCATCGCCTTTTGGCGAGCATCCGTGAAGTTCTAGAACATGTGGCTTCCTGCATGACCTGGCCTTTCGGTCGGCTTGCCTTCTTGGTTGGTACCCAGGAGGCAAGTCCATCGCAATGATGTCGTCCTCGGCTTCTTCCTCAGAGGATGCCCACTCAAGAAAATCATCAAGGCCATCAGTTGTAGCCATCTGAATGTCCGGCTGCATCATTTGCAACACCTTCTGTTTTTGAGCGGATACAAGGGACTTGCCTCCTTTTCTTCCTTTAGGAGGATCTCTCGCTTCGGCACAAGTGCTGCAACTTTGATGATGGCGCAAGCTCCTTTTCCCTGACCTTCTTGGCTGAAGCCGGACCACCAGTCTCCTGGAGCGGAGCACCATAAATCGGGATAGAAGTCCAAATCAAGGTACTCGCGTTCCAGCGCTTTGGTCTTTGCGATGGAGTGCCCGAGCTTGGCGGCAGCGACGAAGTACTGAATGTACTGAATGTAATGCCTTCGGTTCACTTCAGCGTCGCCTGCCCGCCATAGCTGCAAACACGGGCATGACCGCCCGTCTGAATTTTGTACGACTCCGTCAGGCCATAGGCATCGTGTCGCGTGGAACAACGAGCACCGCCCGCAAGACACCACCACGATGAAAAAGATGTCGTAGACGGTCACGTGCAGTCATCACAGTGCGAGCATTCCGCTCAATAATGTCCATTGAAGCCTGGCGTTTTGCCTCCGTGTGCGTGGCCCAGCCAGCTAGAGCGGCAGGATTGTCAGTGACAACATTGTTCCCAGACCACGAAATCACCACCGCATGGGGCTGGGGCGGCCTTTCAACGAGCTTCGCATTGGCTCGCTCTGCGGCATCAATGGCGTGAGGGCATGGGGCCGAATAAAGTTCTCTTATTCTCCTTGATGATGCCTCCAACATCGGTCTTCGCATCCGCCTTGGTCAGTGCGTTGAACGAGTCACCGAAAAAGAGGCAGGCAGAAGAGGACATCGAAGGCCTCGACTGCCGCCTTTAGGACTCCCGTGGCCGTCGGAGAAATAGAGCCGAGCGCCGTCTTGGCAAGCGCCAATGCGTCGGTCCTCTTGCTCATGTTGGCCAGGTCCATGCCGGAATTGACATCCTTGACGATAAAGGACTGCGCGGCGGCGTCCCGAAACAAGTCGGACCAAGCCTCTTGGTTGGTGATTCGCATAGGATCCGGAATAAGCTTGGCTTTCACGCTCCCTCGTGGATGATATAGTCAGAACCAAAATCCGCGACTTCTCACCCTCTTGAGGACCTTCTCGATCGGCTCAGGTTCGGCCATGGCCGCAACGAGTGAAATGGCCACTTTGAGTTGAACCGATACTGCATATCCAAAGGCCTTGCGAATCAAGTCCGTCATGACATACGTGTGGATTCAGAATTTTTAAAGTTCAATCCCCTACCTTCCGCATATCAACAGTACGTGAACAAATTCTCCCATCCAAGTAGTTGTGAAGACAGCGTACGTTGGTCTTCACGGTCCATAGTTTCTTCATGGAAATACTGTCAGCAGTCTTCACACCTACAGCACAACCATCAAACTTGACTGGGGTCATGAAGAAACGGACAACAAACTTGTCCAAAGCTTTGTCGCTCCAATAGGTGCAACTTCTTAGCCATTCGATAGCAACGAAAGGCTTCGCAAACTCCGACGAATTCACAAGATCAACAAATACTGACCGAATTCTTTTGTACAGGGATCGATGACGTCTGACCTTCTCCCTCGCAGTGTTGTGGTTCCTGTTGATATGAGAGCATGAAGTGCCACTGGTATATGGAATGCTCGCCCACATTAACACTGAAATTTTGTCTTTGGGATTCAATTATCGAACATTCACACCCGTGCAAGTGCACTCGCTCAGCACTCTATCCATGCCAGCCAAATGGTAAGAACACCCGTTCAAGCGCACTCGCTCGGCACTGTATCCATGCCAGCCAACTGGTAAGAACACCCGTTCAAGTGCACTCGCTCAGCACTGTATCCACGCCAGCCAAATGGCGAAAGCACCCGTTCAAGCGAACTCGCTCAGCACTGTGTCCATGCCAGGCCAGTCGCGGAGGGCTGTAGACCTCCATGACGTCCACCTTGGTGTTCTGGTTGATGACGGCAGTCAAATAGTTCTGCTCCTTGCGGTCCAACTTGAGCACTCTTCCTTCCTGATCGGTTATCCACGAGTGCATGTGCTCAGGCTGTTGAAACACATAGCACCACTCGTCGACTTGTCGCTGCCGGTCATTCTTGTCTGGGTACGTGTTGATCGAGTCCCAGAAGCCTTGCTCGGACTGCCAACCGTAGACTTGCACCACGTTTTCGATCAAGTGTCCAGGGATGCTCTCCAACGTTCGCGAAGTTGTCGAAAGGTAGACCATGATCGTCGTCATGGCATACCCCAGTCGAGAGAGCTTTGCATAGAGCTTCTTCGCCTTGTCACTCACGAACAACGAACGCCTTCTTTGGTGTTACGAGCACGTGATGATGGCCTGGAAGTGCGTGTTGTTCTACTTCACCACCTCCATGTCCTCGTCGTTCCACTCGCTGCTGTGAGCTGAGTTCGTTACAACTCCGGTTCCGGCTTGTTGTCCCTGTTGGGCGTCTTCGACCTTCGGGGCTGTCCGCAGGCCTGATGGACGCCTCGTCTGCTTGTCCTCGTCGACCTTCTCCTTCCTGACCTGAGCGCCAGCGTGCATGGGATCCTTGATCGGGCCGGCGGTCTTCAGGTCGGCATTGTCTTTCTGCTTCAAGTCTCGTGGTTGTTGTGCTTCTTGTGGGTCGCAACCTCGGGCTTGCCCATGCGATTGACGGTCACTTCCAAATCTCCCTGTTCCGGACGGGACCTGGGTGCTGGTAGGAACTGAGGGTACTCCACGCCCTTCTTGGCCAGTAACTTCTTGGCTTGTGGAGCTTCCGGCGCCTTTGATGATGAGGCGCTCGCCGGCGTTTCCAGTCTTTTACCCGGACACAGGTGTTCCTCAGGGCATCGGAAAACCACTTTCGAGGTCGCTGGCGCAAAAGCACTGGGCGATGGAAGTGAAGGAATGCCAACATCCAGCGGAACACCTACGGCGCAGAGCCAATCGTCACGGCTCGTGGTGGACATGCCTGATGTGTGGGGCACGCTGGGTCCTTGGGCTTCTTGACTTGGGACCTCTTGT